CTAGTCCTGAGTGATGCGCAAGATGTTAGGAAGCCACAAATCTTCAGACCATCTTTAGGTATCTGCCCCCCCCCCCCCCGGCATTCCTGCTACTCTGCCAGCGTGGCCTGATCACCATTTGCACTTTTCCATCCGGCTTCCAACAAGCAGTCAGTAGTGGGGGAAGCAGGATTTGCTTAACGACCACCTGATTCGCTTAACAGCTGCAGTGGTTCACTCAATAAAAAAAGGGTCATAAAATCAGGCAGGTCCACTTAATAACCGCCTTGCTTAGCAACGGATGTTCTGATCCCAATTGGGGTTGTCGGTCAAGGTCTAGCACAGTGTTTCTCAACCTGTGGGTCGGGATCCCATTTGGGGTCGAACGACCATTTCACGGGGTCGCCAAACAACGCAGTCCGCCATTTTTCCCCCCCTTTTCCTTAGCTGTGCTGCTCCCTTTTATTCTATTGGCTTTTGAAAGCCAATAGAATAGACTCTCTTGAATGGAGTCTAATTCTATTGGCTTTCAAAAGCCAATAGGAATTGTCCAGGCTGTCTCTGCCCTGCTGAGCCCGCCAAAAGTCCCATTCGGCAAACGGTGCTGCACCAGTTGAGTAGTCCTCGACTTACGACCGGTTGAGTAGTCCTCGACTTACGACCGGTTGGGGGGGGTCGCGGCATTAAAAAGCTTGAGAGCCACTGGTCTAGCAGTAGTACAGCGAGCCTGGGAGCAGATCCTTCCCCTCTCCCACGCCTGCAGCCCTCTGAACGTGCCCCGCCTCGCCGTCCCGCCTGACCGCCTGGGGGGCTCGGCTGCTGACTCCAGCCAGTATTCGGGGGTAGCTGCCCCCCTGTTTGGTCAGCTGAGGAGGGGATCCCCGTTGTTGCCTGTCCAACTCGGGCCCTGGAGGCTGTCCAGTGGCAGGACCTGGAGCCGGCTGAGTGCTGGATAGCCGGTGAGCAGGTGGCCCTCCACTTCAGCCTCGCCTTGGCAGCTGGTCCAGCGAGGAGAGCCTGGCCTGTGCTGAAGGTCAGACCTATAAAGGGCCTTTGTTGCTGGCCTCCCTCCTCCTGGAAGAAAGGGTCTCCCCCCCCCCAAAAAAGACTCATTAAGCACGGAGGGGGACTCCTGGCCAAATGAGCGGACTTTCTGTTCCTTTCTACGGGGCAGCAGGACATTCCCCTCCCGTACCTTCCGCTTTAGGGATTTTTAAAAAAGCTGCCATTGTGAAATCTCCTTGGAGGCGAATTCGACTCTGACTGACAGCGTGAACATAGCCATGGAGTTTTCTTGGCAGCCGTGACAAAGCATTTTGCAATTGCCAGTTCTTCTGGGATTCTTTTAAAACAAAAAAAAAACTTTGCCATGTAACTTCAGTTCTCAAATTTCCTGGTGGTCTCCTTTCAAAGTCAGCCGATCCAGTTTTTCGAGATCAGCCAAGGTCTGCCATCTAAACACACACACACACACACACACACACACACACACACAAGTCAGAGAGAAGGCTGGCGTTCTGTATACGGGGACCTATTTTGCAGAGATATTATGGGTTATGTGATCCAGTCTGCAGTTGTGCAACCGCAGAAACTTTGCATCGCCTGCTGTCAGTGAGGGCTACTCCGAGTCTTGGCTGACGGGAGGTGGCGTTTTGAATTTGTATACCTGTCAGTGGCTGATGGGGTTACAGTTCAGAAGAGCTGGAAAGGAGGTCATCTAGTCCACCCCGCTCAGTTCAAGAACACAGGTGGCCTTCCGCCCTTGTTTGAAAGCGTCCAGCACAGGGAGCCCACTGGGCCCCATTGCTTGACCCATCAAGAAATGCCCCTCCTTTCAAACTGAAAACAGAGAAGAGAATAGAATAGAGCTGGAGGGGGCACCCTGTTGCTCAGGAGAAGATCCGTGTTGACCATTTCCCCTTCTCTTGCAAGCAGCTCCTGCTTTCTGGATGAAGTCTTCTCGTTTTTCAGGTGGGACGTCCAGGCCTGCTCTGGGCTTCTGGTTGGCTCATGCCTTGAAGATGCCCACTAGTCTCCCCAGCCTGGGAGTGGCATTAAGGCTCCTTCTAAGCTTGGGGTTCTATATGGGGGGCATCAGGTGAAGTAAAGGCTGATGGAAATCAATCTGCAGTTAACTATGCAGGACCCTGGTCTGGAGATACCTCTTTTGGGGATGATGCTGCGTGTCTCTTGGACGGCTGATCCGTGGGGAGAGGAGGGGGGGGCAGCTCCTAGGAACCCCTCTCTGGCACAGCCTGATCTGCAAAACTACAGGCAGCCACTAGAAGGCAACTTCTGCGTATCTCTGCAGCCCCGAACCCCCTAGATGTGACCCAGATCTCTTGGCCCCCCAACCCAGACTCCCTCCGTGAGCTGCCAGGGGAGGCAGCCCTGTTCCTTCTGCGCATTTTAAAAATAACCCCCCCCCATGAGGCTTCTTTCGGAGTCTGCCTCCGTCTGAAGGCAGAACGGAAATGCGCCAAGGGGAGATGCTATTTATACCTCCTGTATGTAAACCCTGGATCTGCCCAACCCACACGCTCAAGGGCATCTCCTGCTCAGCGCCGGTTCCAGCAGGACGCCAAGAGGTGGGTCATTTGGGAAAGAGGAGACGTGGGGGGGGGCTCCCGCTCCCCCTCCTCCGTGGGATGGTTACGTCATCTCATAACCGGGCGGGCTGGCGGTTCAGGCCTCCCCAGAGGGTGCCTTTTCTGGACAGGCTGGCTGTTATCTGAGGAGATCAGCTGCGTCCTGGCTGGGCATCGCTGGCTCAGCCCATATGTGTGCTCAGGGTGGCATCTTGAGAGGACTCGGCCTCCACGGAGGGAGCCACCCGGGCAGTGATGGGATTCCGCCAGTTCTCCCCAGTTCGGCAGAACCGGTAGCTAATTTTGTGTGGCCCAGGCCCAGAACGGACTTCCGGAAGTGGCATCTGCACAGAGAACTGGTTGTTCACATATTTGAATCCCACCACTGCACCTGAGACCCTCCCCAGCATGGTTAAAAGATGATGTGAGCTCAGCCAGGTAGAGAATGGGGGGTTGCTTGGTTCTCAGTGCCACTGGCCCACCAGTAATCTACCACCACATTCCGGATCATTTGCAGCTTCTGGGTCATCTCCAAGACTGCCCCAGGCTGGTGGTGATTTTGGCCTAGCATAGTGGTTCTCAACCTGTGGGTCAGGACCCCATTTGGGGTCGAATGACCATTTCACGGGGGTCGCCAAACAATGCAGTCCGCCATTTTTTTCCCCCTTTTCCTTAGCTGTGCTACTCCCTTTTATTCTATTGGCTTTTGAAAGCCAATAGAATAGACTCTCTTGAATAGAGTCTAATTCTATTGGCTTTCCAAAGCCCATAGGAATTGTCCAGGCTGTCTCTGCCCTGCTGAGCCCGCCAAAAGTCCCATTCTGCAAATGGTGCTGCACCAGTTGAGTAGTCCTCGACTTACGACCGGTTGGGGGTCGCGGCATTAAAAAGGTTGAGAACCACTGGCCTAGCATCATTGGCATACCAGCCCAAGCTGGACAAAGCCCTGCCTCTTATCAAGTGGGAGCGCCAGTGATGGGTCGGTTGACTATCTAATGAATTTTAAAAGAGCCACTGAATGCAGGCTTGGCTTGTACCCACACCTTTACGTAGCAGTGGAAAATAAAAAACAGCAGAGAGGCAGGGTGCATATGGTGCTGGATTTCTGGAAGAGCCATTGGAGATGAGAGCAGAATAACTGGATTATCTTCAGGGGCAAAATGGTTCTTCTTACAGACATCTCATTACAGAAAAGTAAAGTTGGAAGGGACCCTGGAGGTCATATAGTCCAACCCCCTGCTCAGACACAAATCCCTATACCATTTTGGACAAATGTCTGTCCAGTCTAAAAACTTCCAGTGTTGGCGCATCCACAACTTCTGGAGGCAAGCTGTTCCACTGATTAATTGTTCCTAACTGTCAGGAAATTTCTGCTTGCTTCTAGGTTGGTTTTCTCCTTGATTAGTTTCCATCCGTTGCTTCTTGTCCTGCCTTCAGGTTCTTGCTGCTTCATTGGTTTATGGCAAGCCCTCTTAGCTGTACTACAATCATTGATCGAACCAGGCTGTGGTCGCCCACGGGGCTGGCTGGTGGTCTGAAAGTGATAGTAGGTTTTTGAATTCCAAGAGATTACTGTTGGGTATAGATTGATCTCTCATTGGGTTGTGTATCTAGGTTAGGCTTCTATTTGTGCAAAAGTTCTTTTTTGGAATTGGGGAGCATTTGTGTGGAAGCCCCTCTATATGGAATGGGGCTTAGCCCTTGTAAACAATGGGTAGACTTGTAGTTTAAGATTAAATAACAGAGATGTAAAATTGGTATCTGTGCTCTGACCTACATAAGGTAGGATTAAGTATTATAAGAATATATAGGGTCAGTTCAGGGAGTCTGCCTCCTAGGTCAAAAAAGTCAAGATACACCCAGGAGAGCGCAACCGTTATAAAAACAGGCAGAAATTTGATTGCACTCTCCAAAGCTGTCTTAACATTTTTGACCACACCTTGCAGACATCCCTGAGTCTGGTAATGTATGGAAGTTATCTCCACTTATGAGTAATATCTAACAGTAGGTCTGTAAGATCTGACTGGTGTTTTTCTTCCATTTCTGTAGCATAAACAAAGGCTGACAGATCAGTTGCATGGCGTCTGTCCTTAGACACCGATCCCCATTTCAAAATTTGGAAAGGGACGAGCCGGTCTGGGGCAGTTGAGCCATCCTTACTGATCCGGCTGGACCACTGTCCCGTCTGGCTGGTTCTGAAGGGGCCACTAAACACCCCCCACTGCAGAGGATCTGACCTTCAGGGCCAGGTTGGGCCCCCCCAAGCAGCCCTCTTGAAGGAATGGAGTGGTGCAGGGTACTTGGGAGGGGGGTACAAAGGCCCAGAAGCCTTTGAACCTCTGGCCCAGAAAGTCCCGACTGCTGCAGCGGGTTGGGGGGGGGCACGGTGGTCTTCCGCCGGGCCCTCTGGTGAGGGGAAAGCGCCTCTGTCCCGGCTCCCCCAGCTCCCCCCCCCGCCTTTGTGCCCCGTCAGCACCGCTTTGCGAAGAGGGCATCCGAGCTGGCGCTAATCGGATCCAGCAGCTGGGATTGGAGGGCAGGGTTGCCACAGCAACCGGCCCCTGGAGAAGCCATCCCCGACAGACTCTTTTGTCTAGGCCTCTCTCGGGCCGGCCAGCCAGCGCCGCCCCTGGAGAAGAAAGGCTCGGGAGGACGATGAGCGAGCGGGGAGCTGCAGGGCGCCGAGAGGGGCCGGGCCAGCGGGGCGCCCACTGAGCAGCTGCCACAATAGCCCCCACCAGGGGCTGCCACTCATGCTTAGTGCTCGGACGCCTGAGCTCGGCAGAGCCGGGCCACTAATCCTTCCTCCCGCCCTGAGTTTCCATGGACACATGAGCCGGCTAGGACAGCCTCGGCTGTCCTCAGGGCAGGCCTGGGGACTCCGTTGGCTGGGCTGCCCTCCGCCTCTTCCCTGCCGCCCTTCCTGAAACGCCGTTTGCCTGGTCTCGGTGGTGCAGGGCCCGTCCTCGTGGCCGGACTGTGGCCCTCTTTTCTCTTGTCACTCCACGCCGGCCAGAGCTTTGCTGGAGTCTTCTCTTTTCCGCTTTGGATTTGGGAGCCATTGCATTCATTGCACCCCACTGTCTTCTTCAAGACCTCCTGGCCTGCCCTTGGCTCTCGGGCTGCGAAGTGTTTCCGGAGGCACCACAGCCCAGAGGAGACGGCCAGTTTGGGGTACGGGTTAAGGCACCAGGCTAGAAAATGGGAAACCTGAAGTTCTAGTTTTGCAAGGAAATGGCAAACAGTTTCCAAAAACTTTTGCACGGAAAGCCTCACTTGTGACCAGGAGTCAACACTGACTTAAAGCCCTTTAAAAAAAAGGGGGGGGGGGCTCAGAGGTTGGTGGTGGGCCTGAATTTCAAAATCTGGACTCTGGCAGCCTTGCTGAGACCACAAATTAGGAATTGTTGTGGGAAAGCTGAAGCCGAAATGTTCAGCCCGAGGGCACCCTTTGCATAGCATTCCTGGGTTTGCAACAGTTGTTTGGGGTCCAAGGAGCACCAGTCCCTGCCACACACAAGGCCTGGCATGAGATGCCCTGAGCTATTAAAAATTTCCCTCCAGCCAGCAGAGATTTTCCCGCTGGTGTGCCTGCTGGTAAACTGGATAATCTTCTTTCCTCTTTGCCCGTGTTCCGGTGTCCGGCGTGCAGGAGGCTCAGAAGCTTCCAACCCTGATTTTGCTGGGCCTGGCTCTTGACTGCAGGCCTGATCCGAACAGAAGCTCCATTGTCTGCCTTCCACCTCCCCTCACCCCAGCCGGCCGGACTGCGTCATTCAGGAGAGCCGTTCGGCTATTCTGTATGAGAGTCAGGCAGGGGCAGATTAAGGAGTTCACGCTCCTGACTTGTCGGCTGCCACGTAAGACCCAGGTCTTGACTTTTTGGGATGCCTTTCGTGGAAGGCTGGGTGGCCAGTCAGCTGTGGGGTTGGTCCAGTGGACCCTTTGCAGGACCCTGGCCAGAATTAGCAGCCTTTTCATGGTCACAGTAGCTCCCTGGCTCCAGATTTTAAATTCTCCCTCCCGCTTTTTTTGTCAAGGTTCTCATATCCTGCTTATCTCATTTATACAGATGAGCTCAATTTGGTTACTGGTAGCTCTTGTTTGTTCTCCCCCCCCCCCCGCTGCATATTGTTCAAATTCAACCCATTTGGTTAGTTTGTGATTCAATATATTGTGCCAAACTAAAACTGGGTTAATTCGCTACCCACGTTAAGTGGATTGTGTGTTTACAGAAATAGGAATATGACCTACTTAAGTCCAAGATTAAGGGGTGGGATGGGGGGAACAAAAAAAAAAAAGGAGTTTTCTCACTTGCTACAACACCTACGTTGTCTCTCACTTCCCAACTGGTGCTCTGAGGTTCCATTAACCTAGTTGTGGGGAATTCTGAAACTATGCCCAAATATTTGGTTTGTTTGTTGCAGTGGCTTCCTCGGTGACTGCACCTATCTCAGCTTGGCTGGCTTCCAAAGAGCTAAGGAGAAATAGACCTGGTTAGGGTTTGGATGGGAGGCCACCAGGAAACACCAGGGCTATAGAATCAAGTCAAAAAAAAATGTTCTGGAAGAAAACAGTAGCCAATGCACCTTGTTGCCAAGAAAACTATACAGATAAGTCAGATGTCTCTTACCTTTGGGGTCTCCTCAAGTGGGCAAGATTGATGGTCTCTCAGCAGCCCTGCGAGGTGGTTGAGCTAAGCCCAAAATCAGCTCATGAGCTCTGTGACTAATAGTGGAATTGAACAAGACTTGGAATTGATCGGTTGCGTGCCCCCCCGTGGAGTTCATTGCTAAGAAGGTGCGATGGTGCCGCATCGTTTTGAAATAAGGTCAGCAGCTCAGATTCAAGGCTGTGGGAAAGCATCCCACCACCAGCCCTTCAGCACAGCCTTTCTCCAGTTGCAGATTCTGACATAGGTGGGTACCAGCCTGGGCTAGTCTTGCAGAGCTGCCCCTTTGGCTGTAGCCTGAGGAGAGTCGGGAGACCCCTATCCTGCAAGGAAGCCGCCATTGCCATCTCCAGATGACTCCCAGGCGACCCGGCGGCCATTTTGTACCTTTGGTAGTGTTCATGGCTTGTACAGTTTATTTATGAGACTTATATACCGCTTTAAGTGCAAGCACTCTCTAAGCGGTGTACACCAGTAAGCAATGTATATATATATATATATATTTACATTGCCCCCAATAATCTGGGTTCTCATTTTACCTACCCCAGAAGGATGGAAGGCTGAGTCAACCTTGAGCCGGTGAGATTTGAACCGCTGACCTGCTGAACACAGTCAGCTAAAGTGGCCTGCAGTACTGCACTCTAACTGCTGCGTGTATTGTGCAAATTCAGAAAAATTGGGCTCATTGAGTAAATTATGGTCCGGTTACCAGTTTTAACTGCTTTATGCAATCACAGGTAATGCCATCTGGCATGAAGAACAGCCGAGTCTGGGCTGTGTAAAGTATGAAGATCGATATAGCGTGCCTAATTTTTTTTAGCTTCTGACTGGCAGATAACCGTGGGCAGGGTTATCCCAGTTCACCTGTCCTGGGAATAGGAGCTGTCTTGTGCCCCTCTGTTGCAGCCTCCCGCAGCCTTGACTGTTGTCCATGTTGGATGAGCACGATGGGAGTTGCAGTCCCAAACACTGGGATGGGCTTCGGTGAGGGAAGGCTGAATCGATCAACATTTGTATCCTGGGGACTGTCCTGCCATTTCCCCAACCAATAGGCAAACTTTTCTGGGCTGATGACATGGCTTTAGGTCCCTTTAAAGCAGGGGTAGGCAACCTTGGCTCTTTTATGACTCGTGGACTTCAACTCCCAGAATTCCTCAGCCAGCATGGGGGAACTACGGCCCCTTCATGACTCGTGGACTTCAACTCCCAGAATTCCACAGCCAGCATGGCTCAGCTTGGAAACCTCTCCCTTTCCCCTCAGCATGGCTGGCTCAGGAATTCTGGGAGTTGAAGTCCACGAGTGATAAAAGAGCCAAGGTTGCCTACCCCTGCTTTAAACCAATGAGGGGGAAACTTCTAAGGAGCTGATGCTGCACTAGCCAACATTTTATTACATTTGGAATCCCTGATTCCCAAGGCTGTGTGATCTCACACCGGAGAATTTGTTCTCTCTTCAACCTACTAGCAATCTTGCAATTATCAAGTATATCTTACCACCAGCTGCGTCCTGCCTGCCCACGGCAGGCCATCTTTTATCACCTTTGCTGCTGTGGCTGGATTTTTCACACCTGCCCAGAATAATGAGTAAAATCTCCTTTCCTCAAAGGTTTAGAGATGAGTAAGTCATCAGGAGGAAAGTTTGCATTCGTGATGGATTGCACACAGTCCTCCGAGGCTGAAATGGTTGGTAGCTCTGACGCTTTCCTTGTCAAGGGACAGACGGAAACCCAGCGCTTTCTGCCAGTTCTGGATTTAAGCGATACGGATGACCGGTGGGGTTCCTGGATCTGTGCAGATGGGGGGTTGAGGAGCTTACCACTCTGGTTTTCTAGGAACATCTCCAGATGTTCAAGACCTGTTGGCATTGCCGGGAAAGCTTTTCCAGTCTCCGCTTCTTCCTCTTGTGCTTAAAACTATAATAGGTAATTAAATAGCTGATCGCTGTCTATTTTCTACTAATGCCCCAAATATGTTATCTAATAGATTATTTTAGCCTAACATTGAAGTTATTCCTGCCAATTATTTTATTTTTATTTTACTCTTCTGCCCCCAACAGCCACCCATTTCACCCCGCCCATCTGGAGTATTTTGTTTCTTGCAGGTGGACGATGCCATGCTGATGTTTGACAAGACAACTAATCGGCACCGAGGTGAGAGAGACTGAGTGCTTGGATCTGGGGGGGGGGCTGCCCTGCGGTGTGGCCCCTTCCAGCACCTCCCATCCCTAATCAAGCGCTTTCACCCACTGTGGGGGGCCTCCCTCAGGTGATGCAAGCCTGGGATAAGTGGGGCTCCATGAAAGAGAGTCTAAGAAGACTAGATAGATAGATAGATAGATAGATAGATAGATAGATAGATAGATAGATAGATAGATAGATAAGAGTAGGGTAGAGTAGAGTAGAGTAGAGTAGAGTAGATATGGAGGGATGGATGGATTGATAGATGATAGATAGATAGATAGATAGATGATAGATAGATAGATAGAAAAGAGTAGAGTAGAGTAGAGATGGAGGGATGGATGGATTGATAGATGATAGATAGATAGATAGATAGATAGATAGATGATAGATTGATAGATAGTGAAAGATAGATAGATAGATAGATAGATAGATAGATAGATAGATAGATAGATAGATAGATAGATAGATAGTGGATAGATAGACAGATAGATGATAGATTGATAGTGATAGATAGATAGATAGATAGATAGATAGATAGATAGATAGATAGATAGATAGATAGATAGATAGATAACCTTTATTGCCATTTTTTTTTACTGTGGGCACATTGGCACACATTAAAAATGAAATTTAGTTGCTTGCTCTCAAAGTGTACACATGCATATTCAAACATGCTATGTACAACATGTATAAACCCACACCCTTACATATAAATAACGTATAAATATTCATCACAGTCCATCTTGAATACATAATGGAAAGAGGAAACGTTAGTCTGACCACCTGCAGGATCTATTGAAGTGGTTTGGGGCAGATATCTATCCAAGACCCCCAGGGAAGAGGGACCTGCAGCCTATTCCACTGTTGACAACTTGGGAAAATCTTTGAAATCCTTCCCAGTAGCTTCAACCTATCCGTTCTGGTCCTGCCCTCAGGGACAGCAGAGAAAAACTCAAGTTGGGGAAGGCTGACAATCTTTCAGATAGTTATGTCTGCTGTATATGTCCTCTCGGTTGTCTTTTTTTGCAGACTGTTATACCCAGATGCGTTAACGGTTCCTCAGAGGACTTGATTTCCTCCACCATCTTGGCTGGCCTCCTCTGGCCTTGATCCAAATTGTCCTGTTTGCTCTCAGAACCAAATCAGAGACTGGTCTGATCAGGATAGAACAGAGGGAGCGTTATTTCCCTGGATCTGGGCTCTCTACTTCTGTCAATGCCTCTCAAGATAGCACTTGCCCTTTCAGCAGCCGTATCCGACTGCTGAGTCACGGTCAAGCTGTGATTACAAGAATGCCCAGATCCTTATCCCAGGTCCGAACTGCCAGACCAAATTGTCTCCATCCTGTCCTTGTGGCGAACCTATTTGCTACCCAGATGTACATTTCTTCCTGTTGAATTTCATTCTTTTAGTTCTGACCCACTCTCAGAGCCTGGCCTGTCTGAGCAATTTTGGACCTTCTCTTTTGGTTCTAAGACCGCCAAAGGCCGCCATCTTTCCCACAATGCCTTCTTCTTCTGGTCCAGGTTTGCAAGGTGACTTTCCATGATTTTCTTCCACCTCTTGTCAAGAGTCCCACCTGATCTCAGAAGTGAGTGCTATTATGGAGGAAGAGTCCAAGCTGTTCACAGATGGGACCATCTGCTTAGCCAGTTTTTCCCTTCTTTCCTCTCTTCTTCCTGATCCGCATCCTTTGAAAGAAAGAATAAAGAAATCACCCCCAACGTCTTCCTGGACCATTTTGCACAGGAATTCCATAGTCCCTTGAAGTATTTTCATGAGAATAGACTGGAATGGAATAGGAATAGGAATGGAAGAATAGAATAGAATAGAATAGAATAGAATAGAATAGAATAGAATAGAATAGAATAGAATAGAATAGAACAACAGAATAAAATAGAACAGAACAGAACAGAACAGAAATAGGAATAGAAGAATAGAATAGAATAGAATAGAATAGAATAGAATAGAATAGAATAGAATAGAATAGAATAGAACAGAACAATCTGAAAGGGACCTTGGAGGTCTTCTAGTCCAGCCCCGTGCTCAAGCAGGAGAACCTATACCACCTCAGACAAGTGACTGTCTAGCCTCTTCTTAAAGATCTCCAGTGATGGGGCACCACAATTTCTGAAGGCCAGCTGATCCACTGGTTAACTGTCCTCACTGTCAAGAAGTTTCTCCTTAATTCCAGGTTGCTTCTCTCTTTGATCAGTTTCCAACCCTTGTTTCTCGTCCTTCCCTCTGGTGCTTTGGAGAAGAATTTGACCCCCTCTTCTTTGTGGCAGCCCCTCAAATACTGGAGCGGTGCTATCATGTCTCCCCTGTTTCTTATTTTCTTTAGAACAACCAAACCCAAGTCTTGCAGCCGTCCTTCGTATGTTTTAGTCTCCAGGCTTGGATCATCTTAGTTGCTCTTTGATTTTAGTTGCTCTTCTCTGGTTGTGTCATTGTTCTCACACGGTGGGAAGGAAAGGATATTTGTCAGTGGGCTTAAAAACTTTTGTGAGTCCACCTCATCCTGAGTGTGTGACCCAACGAAGGCAACGCACACCAACAGGCTGCAGCTTCAGTCTTTTGCAACAGAGAGTCTCTGATGACTATCAGCAGCTCTGCTTCCCTCATTTCAGGGCAGAAGCAGGAACTCTTCCCTTTGTACAACTTCTGGAGGCCTCTTACTCAGACCAAAATCTTATGTCAGCTGTTCTTTGTCCAAGGCTTTAGAGACATCCTCTTTGACCGGCCCTGGGATTTTCTGCAGCTCCAAAGAATACACCTCCTTCTCTATGGGTTTGTTTCTTGGTGCCATTTTGCCTCCACTGGGGCTTCCTGTGTCCAGTCCAAAAATTCTTCATGGAGTGGGTAGTTTACTTTTGCCTCTAGCCCCTTCCCCTTCTCTTCCAGGTGAGCAATCAGCCTTGCAGCATGTACACTTCATGCGGCCTTCAGACAGGAAAGTAAACCCACCGCATTCCCTGCAGGTCACATGAACGGATCTCGCTGTCCACAATCTTCTTTCAACAACAAGCGACAAGGGGAAAAAAAAAATATTTCCCTTGTTGCACTTTTCCCGGCCCTCCTTTTTCATTCGCTCTGCGACCTGGTGCTCTGGGCAGTTGCTTCCTTATATGTCCACTGAAGCTGCCTCAACTGGGTCAGTAGCAAGCAATGCTCCCATCAGTCAGCAGCTCTTAGGGAAGAATCAGCAGGAGTTGTCAGTCAGCAGTCAGTCTCCTTTTTTCTGCCCCTTCCTTCTCCTCAGTTGAACTCCTGTGCCAGGCTCCTGCTCACTTGCCCATTTCTCGAGCCTTAAGTGGCACTGATGGGATGTATGAAGCTTCTGCACCCTCCTGATGCTTGGAAGATCAGAAGCAGAACAGACCTGCCTTCATCAAAGACGCCACCGACTTTTCCTCACCTGGACTGGCTCTCGTGCACCACGAGCCCCTTTTCCCCCAAATTTTGCTGCCCGAGCAAAGATGTAGATCTTTCTTTTTATAGCGTTTCTGCCTGCAGATGTTCTCTTTGCTTTTATGCCTGCCCCGTGCTCATTCATCAGCTATTATTGGCTTTATATAATGTAATGTATTGTGTAGATTGAGCAAATAAATAGGTAACTGGAACAGAGCGGGTTTGTATTACAGGCCAGATTCTGCCACCCCTTTTCCACTGCCCAGTCTCCCCCATTACGCTGCGCTTTAACCAGAGAAATGCAGCTCTGGCTTCCCCTCTTCTTGGGGGACCCCGTGCCCCACTTTCCAGGCTTCTGTGCTCTGTTCTTTTTTCCTGGGTCCTCATCCTTTCACTGGTTCCTGCCTTCCTGGCTGCCATCCACCGGGGCTTAGGGAAATCGGAGCTGCTGCTGGGATTTGCAGCCAGGATTTTTAAAAGTAACTAAACTTAGCCATAGTAACTGGGGGGCAGCTGAGGCTTGCGGTGAAAGGCTGACCAGGCCTGCTCTGTCTTGCCTGAAGCTGCAGAAAGGAAGCATTGGCTGGTCAAGCATTGCCTGAAGCTGCAGAAAGGAAGCATTGGCTGGTCATGATGGGGAGGTGGCGATGCCCCAGTTGGGTGGAAAGTGGGCGATCTCTCTCAGTTGCCATCTCTGTTATCTCTCCATAGCTCTCTTCTGCCGGGGGAGCCTTTGAAATGATAGGGATAGTAGGAAGAGCTAGGAAGAGTAGGCAAGAGAGAGAGAAGGACTGCGGATGTCCATGTGTTGTGGTTCCGGCTAATGAAACATTCCAAAGAACTTCCAGGCATTTATTTTCCTGAAAGTCTTTTATTGTTACAAAATGTCGGCACAGGCACAACGGAGGGATGCTAGGATCTAAGTTCTCTTCCTCTGAGCAGTTAAATGATCAGCCTGTTCCCTCCCTAAATTAACCGTCATATCTCACATTATCCAATTAGTGTGAAGGTCAAATGTTTTCTTCCTCTCTCTTTCCAGGGCTTTACCCCCAACCCCCCTTCTGCTCTGTATTAACTCCATAATTACCAGACAATTCTACATATTGTCAAAAGCAAGAATATACAATATTTGCAGCGTTGACACCATGTTCCTCAGCTCTTTTCCAGTCATGGTTTGTTTACATCTCATAGAAATGGCATTTGCCTCTACTGGCCAGTCCAACTTCAGGTTGGCCACCCTTCCAGGTCAAAAACACAGTGGATAGGACAGTGATGGCGAACCTTTTAGAGACCGAGTGCCCAAACTGCAACCCAAAACCCACTTATGCATCGTCGAGTGCTGGGTGGGTGTGGCCCATTGGGTGGGCGTGGCCCATTGGGTGGGCATGGCTGCGGTGGTAACAGCAGACTGGGTGGGACTAAGAAGTTCAATCAATCAATTCCAACTTTGCAAGGTCTTTTTTTCCCGCGAGAAGTTGAAATTGACTGATTGAACCTTTTTTTTTTTTGCACACGGCAGTGGAGGCCTAAAGCGAAAAGGTTTTATAAAACCCAGCTGAAAGCCTCGGACTGGGGCGACGGCGCGTGTGCCCACAGAGTGCCGCCTCTGGCACCTGTGCCATGGGTTTGCCACCACTGGGATAGGATAACATTCCTGTTGCCTTTCCGGTTTTGAAGTGGGCCAGCCTGGTGGCTATTTTAAGCCCACGACAGCTTGTGAAAGGGACAAGAGCCCTTCAGCTGGAGCCCCGGAGGGCCTTATGGTGCCTCTTGACTTGGCTGAGCTGGGTTTTCTTCTTCTTCTTCTCTCTTTCAGGCTTTGGGTTTGTCACCTTCGAAAGCGAAGACATCGTGGAGAAAGTCTGCGAGATTCACTTCCATGAGATCAACAACAAAATGGTGAGGGGAAGGAAAATTGGGTTTGGGTCGATGGGATGGATGGATGGCGTCCCACGCTGCTGGGCCTTTCCTCCCTCCGGGCCTGAGGGTCAGGCGGCCTTTGCAAGTTGAGCCGGGGCCCTCCGTGGTGGTCTTGCTGTCTTACTGATGAGTCTGGCCAAGTTTAGCGTCACAGAATGGGGGGTCTCACTCAGAGGGACGTCGAGTGACCACACGCACCAGGGGATTCTTCTTCTGCTGCCCGGAAATCAGCTTTGTCCCGTCAGGTATTCCCCAGACGTGTGGAATTCAATACCCAGAATTCTTAGCAACAGTTGTGCTCCTTGGGGAATTCTGGGCATTGGTCTATCCGTCTGAAAGTGCAAAGCTGAAACTTAATTTTTCCCCCCAATCCTGTGCAGCATTTCTGAGGCAAAGGGCAGAGAAGGAAGGCGAAGTTAAAATGTTTTCTACCTGTCTCCATAGTACAGTGGTGGCGAACCTTTTAGAGCCCGAGTACCCAAACTGCAACCCAAAACCCACTTATGTATCACTGGGTGCCGGGTGGGGGTGGCTATGGTGGAAATGGTAGACTGGGTGGGCGTGGCCATGTTGGGCGTGGCCAACTCGATGTTGCTCTGGCGGGTGGGGCAGTGGGCAGGAGGGCATCTTCCTCAGCGGGTGGGGGGCATGGGGGGAGACTCTTGAGCCCCGCAGTTCTTCCGAGGGGGAGAGGAGGAGCTATGCTGGGAATGGGGCTCCTCGTGCCTTCCGCTGCCCACCTGCGCTCTTCTGCCGAAGATGCCGCGGGTCTGCTTGCCTGGCAGGACAGGGGCACGCTCGCGCATGGGGATGCACATAGGACTGCTGCCTCCTTTCCTGTGCCTGCTTCCACCGAAAGTTGCTCCCTTTATAGCCTCTTGCCTATTCCCAGACTGCGCATGTACGGAGAGCTGCGCATGTGCAGCTCTGCGGAAAGCTGCGCATGCACGGAGAGGAGGAGGGAGCAGCTCGCCCCAACAATGGCTCGCGTGCCACCAGAGACAGCTTCGCGTGCTGCCTCTGGCACGCGTGCCATAGGTTCGCCGCCACGGCCATAGTATCTACCTCGCTGGTTCAATCTGGCAGGGCTGGCACACTCTGGGTTCCATCAATTAAGCAGTGCCATCTAGGATCACACCCTTGAAGTGAATCTTCTCTGTAGCATCTCCTGCCCTCTGGAATCGTGTGCCCGCTGAGATCCAGATGGCCCCACCCCACTGGTATTATTTCCGAGCCCTGAAGATGTGGCTCTTCAGCCAGGCCAGATGATTCTTTTCCGTGTGCCCATCTGGATTTGCCCAGCTCTGCTCTTTCGGCCTGTCTCCTTTTTGTGGTTTTGTATTGTTCCTAATTTTAAGTGTTCTTCACCGCTCATAAACTGCCCAGTCACTGGGAGTGAGGCGGCATATAAATTTAATAAATTATGATTACTAATAGAGGAATGTGACGTAATTAGGGGAGAATGTTGTGTGTTTTGTTGCAAGGGGCCCATTTATTGTTGTCCAGGAGCAACATTCAGGAGGGTGCCTTGCAATAGCAATAAAATCTGGCACCCCCTTTTATAGGATTGCCTTAGTCCAGTGTTTCTCAACCTTGACCATTTTAAGGCATGTGGACTTCAACTCCCAGAATTCCACAGCCAGCAATGCTGGCTGTGGAATTCTGGGAGTTGAAGTCCACATGCCTTAAAATGGCCAAGGTTGAGAAACACTGCCTTAGTCTGACTTCCTGTTGTGTTTGGTGCCAGGTGGAATGTAAAAAAGCTCAGCCAAAGGAAGTGATGTCGCCCACCGGCTCCGCCAGGGGACGCTCCCGCGTGATGCCCTACGGAATGGACGCCTTCATGCTGGGCATTGGCATGTTGGGTAAGAGGAGAAAGCACTGCCCTCTTCTGGAAGAACCAGAGAACTGCACCCCCTCTTCTGGAAGAACCGCCCTCTTCTGGAAGAACCAGAGAACTGCAGGCACAATTGCAGAGAAAGGACCACACGCTCCATCCTCTGTGCCTTCAAATTAAAATTGGATGAAGATGGAGAGGGGGGGCTAGGGCGGTGTTTTTATGGGGCCTTCTGAGATTTTCTTCTTTCTTCGACAATAGGATACCCGGGTTTCCAGGCAGCCACCTACACAAGCCGGAGCTACACCAGCATTGCACCTGGGTATACCTACCAGTTTCCCGGTATGTCTTTCTTTCTCTAATTTTGTGCTGCTTTTGTTGTCCCAAAGGTAGAATCTGATGGACAAACATCTCAACCATTCTTTGCAAATTGTCCTTCTTTTCTCTGGGGGGGGGGGATATGAAATGCCTCCCCTAAAGCTGAGGTGAAATAGGAAAGGAATTGTATTTTTTCTTTTGTCAGGTTCTGGTTAAATTCTTCCAGGGGCTCTCAGAGGTCATCTAGTTCAGTCTTTCTCAACCTCAGCCACTTTTAAGACACTCCCAACGTCCAGAATTCCCCAGCCAGCATGCTAATGGACTTTTAAGACCATGCTGACTGGGGAATTCTGGGAGTTGAAGTCCACCCACAGCATTAAGTAGCTAAGATTGAGAAACACTGATCTAATTAAACTTTTCTGCAAGATTTACCAAAGCAATTGGATGGTGGCCTTCCTTTACTTAATTGTCACCTTCGGACAATTGGACACTCCCCTCTTTTGGAGTCTCTGCTTCTGCAGCTGCTTCCCCCCCCCCCCGAGCTGAGAAGCCTCTTTTCCCAGAGTGACTGCCTTCCCAAAACGGAGTATTTTTTTTACCAAGCTTAAAGTGCCAGAGGCATGAGAGGAAATCCTGCAGGAGGAGCCAAATCCTCTAAATAAACTGCAGAGGGCTGAAGCACTTAAAGTGCACCCTTCGGCCTACAATTTTCTCTAAAGTGTGCATGCTTTTCAAGGTCAGCGTCTTGCATTTTGGGGTGCATTTATGAACAAAGAGAGGCACGGAAGGCAGGGGAGAGCAATGTCCTGGCTTGCCCATTACTTCCTCTTTGAGTGACATCCGTATCCCGTCCTCTCCAGCCTTAAATTCAGTCTGAGCAGACCAAGAGTTTTCACAAAGAACCGTGAAAGCTGACGACAGCACTTGACCCTTCTAGCAATGCCCCCCTTGGAAGCTGGCGGTGGGCGTGCCTTCAGGCAGTCTCTCTGAGGATTTCCATTTCCTGTGCTTGCCTTTGCGTCCCTTCCTCTTCCTCTTCCTCCTCCACCCTTCCCTCTGTCTCAGGGGGGGACCTGATGGAGCATCCTAAGTTGTCTTGCCTTTCCTTTTTAGAATTCCGGGTAGAACGGACCCCCCTTCCGAGTGCCCCTGTTCTCTCTGAGCTTACAGGTCAGTCCCACCGGTTTTCTCCGTGCAACAGCTGGAAGAGAAGGGCGGGTGGGTTGTGCTTTCCTTGCCTTGCAGCTTTGGGGGCCAGGAGTTGCTGGTAGGCAGGCAGGCAGACTTGTGCTAGGTTCTCTGGCTTTATCCTCAGGATGAGGGTTTGGGGAGTCGAGAAGCTGCTGATGGAGAGGAACAGATGCATGCTGGGACATTTGTTCCCCACTCCACAGTGGCTCCCTGATGGGGGGGGGAAGCATTCTCATACCCTTACATAAAAGGAGAAACCCGAGTCCCTCCATCTCATAACCATCTGCTGTTTTCTGCTCTTTACCTGCTGTTGAAACTCCTGATTGAGCCGTTGAGTAACTGTGTTGCCTGTTGGGTCATCCTTGCATGGCCGAGCACCTGGTTCTGCAGGTGAGAGCCGCTGAGGAGAGCCGTATCCCGGAAGCCACGACAAACAAATGGATCAGGAAAGGATGTTGGCTCTCCAGATGTGGCTGTTGTAGGAGGAGAGCCAGATTACTCTTTGAGGGCAAAAAAAACCAGGAGGCTGATAGCATCTTTTCTAGCATTTGGATGGAAAGGCACAACTCAACTTTGTTAGTCAGATATGATGAGGGATTCTGGGAATTGCAGCCTCAAAATACCTGGGAAGCACCAGCTTCTCCTTCAGAGGATTGTGCAAAATGTTGTTTTTCCCCCCCGAAACGATGTTGAACGTGAAACTTCACAAAGTTTCCTGCTTTGGGTGTAAATTCTCTGCTTCGAATATTGGCATAGCCCTGCCCCCCCCTCCCCGGTGCGTTCTGAACCCACCCAACTTTTCCAGCGTGCTCAAAGTGCTCATTTTGCATTCAGACAATATTTTAGAGGTTACACAGAGCTCCCCGCTTGAAAGAGTTGCATGCCCCTCGTCCACAGGCACGTCTTTCACAGGCTGCCTTTCAAACGCCCCTTTGGAGGAGTTTGTTCTTTTCAAAAAAGTGCCTGTGTGAGATCCATCCCAAACATCTGGAAGGGAGAAGCCAAGAAGCAGTGGACTTCCTCCTTCACAGCTGGACTCGAAAGGAAAACGTCGTCTTTCTGAATCATCTAAGCCAGCGGTTCTCAACCTGTGGGTCGGGACCCCATTTGGGGCCGAACGACCATTTCACGGGGGTCGCCAAACAACGCAGTCCGCCATTTTTCCCCCCTTTTCCTTAGCTGTGCTACTCCCTTTTATTCTATTGGCTTTTGAAAGCCAATAGAATAGGCTCTCTTGAATAGAGTCTAATTCTATTGGCTTTCCAAAGCCAATAGGAATTGTCCAGGCTGTCTCTGCCCTGCTGAGCCTGCGAAAAGTCCCATTCTGCAAAGGGTGCTGCACCAGTTGAGTAGTCCTTGACTTACGACCGGTTGAGTAGTCCTCGACTTACGGCCGGTTGGGGGTCGTGGCATTAAAAAGTTTGAGAACCACTGATCTAAGCCCACCGACTAACAAAGAGAAGGACTAGGGGTGACACGATACTGTCTTCCGGTATGTGAGGGGTGTCATGGAGAAGAGGGGGTCAGCCTATCTTGCAAAGTACCAGAGGGCAAGACAAGAAGTAGTAGGTGGAAGCTTGTTAAAGAGAGATCTAACCTATAACAATCGATCAATGGAGCGGCCTGCCCTCAAAAGCTGTGGCTGGTCCATCACTGGAGGTTTTCAAGAAGAGACTGGCTAACCATTTGTCCAGAATGATGTAGGGCAGGGGTAGGCAACCTTGGCTCTTTTATGACTCCTGGACTTCAACTCCCAGAATTCCTGAGCCAGCTAAGCTGGCTCAGGAATTCTGGGAGTTGAAGTCCAGGAGTCATAAAAGAGCCAAGGTTGCCTACCCCTGGTGTAAGATCTCCTGCTGCTGTCCCTTCCAGCGCTAGGATTCTATGACTCTCTTACACCCTGAGGTGGGAAACACCAGAAGTTCATCCTCCTAACTATGAAGGAGTTTCTTATTCTCTCTCAAGATGCTTCAGGCTTGGCACGATGCCCTCCAGTCTGTGTTGCTGGGAGCCAGAGGACTCTGCCCTCAGCTTCCCAGGCTCTTTCTGGTGCCACATCTCCCACAAACTTCCATCACTTGAATAGATACACCAAACCCTGTTAAATAAAGGTCTCAAGAAACCTTTGCTAAGTAACTATGTTAGGAGACTGACTCTTCCTCATCTGCAAAAGTGGCCCTCAATTTAACGTGGCTTGCTGAGAATTGGGCCATGCAAAAACCAGAGCAACAGGCTTCAGCAGGGGATCCTGGTGGTGTGCCTTTCATCTCATCCCTTGCCAAAACTTCCACAAAATGTGAATTCCTGCAGTTTTAGCACAGGATGAATCCCAGCTATACCCAACTGATGGCCTGTTCAACCTGAAATCTGTAACCAAGAAGAGCCAGAAGGCATTCAGACAACATGTTCTCCACAGTTGGGTTTCCTCCACTTTCTGGATAACAGACCCAGTTTGAAGTTGCATGTCCAGGTTAAGCTTCTGGTCAGTCATCCACTGACTGGAAGGCAAAGTGGTAAATTCACTGCATCCTCTTTTCTGCTTCATCTGTCTATCTGTCTGTCTGTCTACTAAGTAAATTGGCAGTCTTCCAAAGCCCTGTTGGGTATTTTTTAGGATTGCCTATTTTAGGGTTTTTCAACCTTTTCACCCATTGTACCGTTTTTAGGATATGGCAATATCCGAGTACCACCAGTTGCCCAGCAAGGTGTCAAAAACTTGATGACCAAAAAAGGAAAAAGGAAAAAAGTAATAAAATACAGGTAGTCCTCGACTTACAACAGTTCGCTTAGTGACTGTTCGAAATTACAATGGCACTGAAAAAAGTGCCCTCCAAGCCACAGCCGAGCAAGACACCTGCCTGCCCGCCTGGAGGCGCTCTTCCTCCTGTCCGAGGTTTTCATTGTTGTGAGCATTTCTGTTGAGGATTGGCAGCGGAGGTGGGGTAGGGGGGTTGGTTTTTATTCCCCCCGTCTGCTGGGTGGTTGCAGCAGATTTTGGTCACGTCACATGACCCTGGGACACTGTGTCCATCATAAATATGAATCAGTTGCCAAGCATCTGAATGTAAATCACAAGACCCTGGAGATGCTGCAACATTCCAGCTGATTGGTGCTTCTTCTGGGCTCAGCAGAAGCACCAGGATCAATGCTGAGCTCCAGCTGGAGCCTGGCGCTGATCCTGGTGCTTCCACTGAGCCCTGACAGCCCTGCAGCTCCAGCCATCTCTCGCTCAGGCTTGTGCGGTGCTGCCACCGGTTCAGCTCATTCCCCTCCCCAGCTACCACTTTTCTAGGATGGTCGTGTACCACCTGCCAGGTGCCAATGTACCACAGGTGGTACCCTTACCACTGGTTGAAAAGCCCTGGCCTATTGGACCCAGGGGCACCAAGAGACGGGCTTGTCAGGATAGTGTTATGTCACCTGTGCTGGATTCTGCTGAGATTCAACAGCTGTCTTACCCAGTGTTGGCAACTGGAATCCAGAGTTTTCAGGATTTTGTATCTTCTGCCAGTGACTCTTATCAGCTGCTATTTGAGAACCATTTGAAGGCAATTGCTGGAGGAAATTTAGGAATTCTAAAACACCCTTAATTAAGCAAGCAGCTGTTAGGAAGACCCACAAAAGACCAGCGTGCAGTTCTCATTCTCAGCAGCCCATAAACCTTGGTGCATCTATTTTGAAAACCGTTCGGAAGCTAGATTTCAGAATCCGCGGCTATGCTCAGCTTGCTGGGCGTATTTTTGTTGTTGCTAAATAAGAACCAATAACTGGCTGCCCATCAATTTCTGAGCGAAGCAGAATTAGGGCTTGAGACCCCCCCTTTTCCCTTTTCTAAGTTGTCTGGTGGGAGAACCTGACTCTCGTCCACATCAGATCCTTGATAACATATTTCACCTTGCTGATAAAAACAGACCCATCCGATTCGCAAGCTAGGGCTCCGATGAAATGGATTGGGCTGAAACTTTGATGCCTGCTTCAAACCACAAGCTCCAGTCGTGAAAAGAATTGTTATCAAAATAGTTTTAGGAGATTGGCAGGAAGAGGGGTCACCTAATCCATTAGTGAGACAGTCATCACACCGGTGGAGTGCAGCTGTTGTATAAATTTGGCTTCTCTACAGCTGCAAAATGGATCAAAGAAGAGCGGGGAGAATATGGCGCTCTCAGATTTTCGTGATGAAAGAAAGAATTTTACTGCTTCCTGTGGATGCCAGCACTATTTGATAAGGTCATGTGACTAATCAACGAACAAATTAGGGCCCAGCCATTGAGATCAAGGACGAGTTAGGGCTTAAATTTTTCCTTCCTTCCTTCCTTCCTTCCTTCCTTCCTTCCTTCCTTCCTTCCTTCCTTCCTTCCTTCCTTCCTTCCTTCTTTCCTTCCTGTTGTTTTCAAAGTTCCTTCTTCCTATTGCCATTCCTTCAAAGCTTCGTAAAGGTGGTTTTGCACTGTGCTTCCGCAAGCACAATGGCACTCTTCTGCTTCTGAGCTAATAGCGCAATCGCTTCCGTGCGCCATCCCATTCTCAGACCTTCTCACTCTTGAGGCCTCCCTTGCATTCCTCCGAGCTTTGGACTGCAAGGAAGTAGGGTGCGGGAAGAGGACCGTCTTTCTTCAATCATGCTAAAGTCATGCTCTGGTATAAATCTGTGGATGCCGTTAGGGGCTCTCCCAGGGAGAGGGGTTAAAATCTTGTTCTCCAGCTCCTGTCCCGTCACAAACTCTTTGTGTGAATGCTGCAAGCCAGAATGGGTGGGCAGAAGACGCTCCGGAGAGCCGGTGGACCAGTTGAGAATTTCTTTGGGAAAATGTTAACTTCGTTTCAGAGACTTGGTGGGACTTGGCAACCTCTAGCGAAGCTGGAAGCTGTGAACCGCTACTGGTTTCAGGTTGCCAAAGATCCCCTTTAGTTCTTGGCACGCGTAACAGGTTTATGTTGCATTGTCAAAGTGATCTGGGTGCTTTAGGTGAGCCAGGATTTAGCCACAACACGCCCGGGCCAACTTTACTGGATGAATATGAACATCTCCCCCCCCCCCCACACACACACATCTTGTTTTGATTTCCACTTCAAGAAGGAAAGGCAAAAAAAGGGAAAAGAAAAGAAAAAAACAGCTTTGTGAAGACAGGGATCAGAGTAGGCAGGAACTCCTTGGGTGGTTTTGGGCCTGAGGTTCTGCTAGAGCCAATTTCAGGGCTGGTGCTGGAGGTCCAGGAATGGCTAGGTCAGGGGTAGGCAACCTTGGCGCTTTTATGACTGGTGGACTTCAACTCCCAGAATTCCTGAGCCAGCCATGCTGAGGGGAAAGGGAGAGGTTTCCAAGCTGAGCCAGGCTGGCTCGGGAATTCTGGGAGTTGGAGTCCACGAGTCATGAGGGGGCCATAGTTTCCCCATGTTGGCTCAGGAATTCTGGGAGTTGAAGTCCATCAGTCATAAAAGAGCCAAGGTTGCCTACCTCTGGCCTAGGCCGCTTTATGACTCGTGGACTTCAACTCCCAGAATTCCTGAGCCAGCCATGCTGAGGGGAAAGAGAGAGGTTTCCAAGCTGAGCCGTGCTGGCTGAGGGATTCTGGGAGTTGAAGTCCACCAGTCATAAAAGGGCTAAGTTTGAAGACCTCTGGTTTAAATATTTAGATATTTTTCCCTCACGGTCACATGATCAAAATTCAGGCATTTGAACGGGTAGGCATCCTTGGCTCTTTTATGACTCGTGGACTTCAACTCCCAGAATTCCTGACCCAGCCATGCTGAGGGGAAAGGGAGAGGTTTCCAAGCTGAGCCATGCTGGCTCAGGAATTCTGGGAGTTGATGTCCACCAGTCATAAAAGAGCCAAGGTTGCCTACCCCTGGGCTAGGTCAAGTAAATCTCCATAGTCGGCGTAAGCAGAGCATCCTACTAATGCAGACCGGCAAGATTTACCCAGACAGCCCCCCAGAACAGCCGGCTGGGCCCTGGGACACAGGAACATGCACGTCCCTCTTCTTTGCCCTCTTTCACGTCTCTCACACACGCTTCCAAGCGAATGGCTTCATGGAAAGCCAGAGAGCGGCTCTGCATTGGCCGTTGGGAATCGGGAGCGGCTGGTCAAGGACTGCTCACGCTGGCCAGCTGGTTTTGCAGGATACACTTGGCCTGGTGGCCACCCGGACACGAACTTGGCATGGCATAGCTGCCTGTGCAGATGCGTATCTGCAGTGGGCATGGGCTGGGCATCTCTGGGTTCCCTGCATCCCATCCCTGACTCTGCCTCTCTCTCTCGCAGCCATACCTCTCACTGCTTATGGACCAATGGCGGCAGCAGCAGCGGCGGCCGTGGTACGAGGGACAGGTAATTGCCTCATCCCAGAGGTCTCTGGGGACCTTTTCTGCAAGGCTGGGGGTGGGTGGGGAGGGGCAGGGTGCCATTGTAGCATCTCGACTGGCTAGTGTTGCTTCCTCCGGTAGGTTCCACCCCCAGCCGCACTGGCGGCTTCCTGGGCACCACCAGCCCCGGGCCGATGGCTGAGCTTTATGGAGCAGCCAATCAGGATTCAGGAGTCAGCAGTTACATCAGTGCGGCGAGTCCCGCCCCCAGCACCGGCTTCGGCCACAGCCTAGGGGTGAGTGCTGCAGGGGGCTCCACGGGCAGGGAACAGACGGGCGAGCCCGAGAGAAAGGGGCAGGAGCCAGACAGGAGGAAGCTCCCGGCCAGCTCCCGGTCCTGGGAGAGGGGTCTTTTGTTGGATCAGGGGCAGGTGCTGTGGACGACACGCAAAGAGTCCCGTGTTGAGGGCGTGTGAAGACCTGGCCAATGTTTGTAAGCCGAAGGAAGCTGGGTTTCTTTTGAGCCATTCCAGTTTTCTTGGTTGAGTCTCAACTCCATGTCTTCTGCGCTCAAGGAGCCCCGCTCAAATAAGAGTCTCTGGGCTTCACTTGTAAGGTATTGCTGAGCCTCACCTGGCCACCTCTGCAGGGCCCAAACCAACTGTCAGGGGGAGAGAGGGGGAGTGTAAGGACCCACCTCACTTTACATCTTAAGAATACAGAACTCTTTTTTTTTTATTTAAAAAGTTGTATTAAAAGTTACAAAATGAACTTATTTACCCTACTCCCTACCCCCATCCCCACCCCACTTCCCGGCGCCAAATACAGGGTATTTCAAACATATTAAACATAATCTAATTAAGTTAACAAATATATTAATCATAAGCTAAACAAGTTTAACAATTTGTACAACAATTAAAATCATACTTAACCCTTAACTCCCGTTAAACCTTAATAACATATTATAAACAAATCAATTTGTAAGCAATTATTATATAATAATAAAAAAATAATTAAAATATTATTAATAATACTTGTTTTTTAATCATAAAATAAGTGGAACTTTTCAGTTCCATATTTAATCTTAATAGAAGATTAAGAATACAGAACTCTTGGAATATCTTTTCCAACAGGCATCTTTATTAAGAGAAAATGATTGCAGGCGTGCTAGACAGGATCTGAGGAATTCTCTCCCACCCTTCAATGTTTTAAGTGTTTTCAAGCAGCCCCCCCACCCCACAGTTCTTCCGGGTGACGATCCTTCTCTCTTTTCCCAGACTCCAGGCGCTGCATTGTCCCCCCCCCCTTTTTCCTTACTACTGGCCAAAGGGAGACTTCAGAGAGGAGTAGATGAAAGGTGATGGCCATATTGTTATGGTCAGTCCTCTTGGTGAGAATCCACATTCAGTCCCTTTGAAGTTGTAATGAAGGACGTGAGAGCCATAAAACCCCTTTGCTCATCCCCCTACCCCTTCATAGTATAACAGAATCCAGAGAGGGCAGAAATGGGGTTTTCCATAGTCAATAACTAGAGATGAAATATAATTGGATTCTGACAGGGAGCCAAGCCAGCTAGAGAGTAACTTTACCTGATGCCGCAAGTCCTTTGTTGAATCATTGTAATGAATAGCATGCCATATTTTTTTTTTTTTTTTTGCAGGGGCCTTTGATTGCAACGGCATTTACTAACGGTTACCATTGAAGCTGAGGACCAAGAAAACAGATGGTAAGTGGGCTCTCTAGGGCAGGAGAAGAGGCTCAGCTTGACTGCGGTTGGGAAAAACTCCTGGGCCTGCCCTGGAACACTTTTGTCTCTCCTTTGGGAGATGTCACCTGGGGCAAAACATTGTGTACGCGAAACCCTCTGTCTTTGGAGCTTTCCCAGATGTGGAACATCTGAAAGGTGTCAAATCTGACACATTGCAAGGCTGCCGAATCCTTTTTTAAAAAAACAAAATCTTATGTAGAGTCTGGAAATGCAACTGGATTTTTGGATTTATGGCACTTCTTTAAACGTTGGGCGGTTATTCGGTTTTTCATATTTTGTGATTCTACTGCTTTTATAATCAATTACACAGAGTCCTTGGTGCTCTCTGAGCTTGATTGTGTGCTTGCATTGTTATTACACAACTACGTAACATTAGCCGTGGAGGGAGTGTGGGGTTTGCTCCCTGCTTATATACACCAAGATTGTCCTGCCAGTATTGGCTGGGCTATGGCTTTCTCCCTTGTTCTTCCTGGATTAGGGCATTGTTTCCTGCTTGATCGGTTGCCTGGTGTGAATCCCTGTGTTGGTTGCTGGAGAGGATGTGTTCTTTTTGCTTCATTTTTAGTTTTTTAATTGTCACGTTTGAATGGCGTGAAAATGTATTAATCTCTGTGTGTCTGTCGGTGACTGATTTGTCTGAGGGCCCAGCTTCCAAGCATTCACTTCCTTTTGCAGTTTTGCTTGGTCTTGTATGCTCACAGATGCCCAGTTGAAACTATGGTTGATCTGTCCATTGGTTGCGACTGTTAGTTGGTGTTTATGGTGTGCTCTGCCTGCCCTATATAGTGGTTGCTGCCCTACATCTTACATTGTAGGGTGTAGATGACTCTTGTTATTCCCAGACATTTTCCTAGAAGTACTAAGGCCCTGCAACAACTCAGAACAACAGACCACCTCCTTAACATTATCTAACAAAATGGATGCCCACACAATTATATCAAAAAGTGCCTACTCACTCAATCCACTAAAACACAACCAACACAAGCTATAGCAAGAGAAATAGCACTCAGATTTATATACCGCTTCACAGTGCTTTACAGCCCTCTCTAAGCAGTTTACAGAGTCAGCTTATTGTCCTCCCCCCCCCAACAATCTGGGTCCTGTCCTATTCTATTCTATTCTATTCTATTCTATTCTATTCTATTCTATTCTATTCTATTCTATTCTATTCTATTCTATTCTATTCTATTCTATTCTGATTTTATTCTATTCTATTCTGGTTCTATTCTATTCTGGTTCTATTCTATTCTAATTCTATTCTGATTCTATTCTATTCTTATTCTATTCTATTCTAATTCTAATTCTATTCTTATTCTATTCTATTCTGATTCTATTCTATTCTATTCTAATTCTATTCTGATTCTATTCTAATTCTATTCTAATTCTATTCTATTCTGATTCTATTCTGTTCTGCTCTGTTCTGTTCTGTTCTATTCTATTCATTATTATTCCATTCCATTCCATGAATAAAATGCTAAGAAGGGAACAAAAAGATCACAACAGATCCTCTCCAGCAGCCAATACCCAGAGAAGCAGGGATTAACACCAGACTAACAATCAAGCAGAAAACAATTCCCAATCAAAGAACTATGAAGGAGAAACCTCACCCCCTCCAGCTGGTGCATATAAACCAGAAGCCCCCAACCTTTTGGGCACCAGGGACCGGTTCCATGGAGAGAGGTTTTCCTGCGGACTGGAGGGTGCGTGGTTTTGTGTGCTGCCTGCATCCCACGGATGGAGCTTTGCTTGTTTATGCAGACCGGTTGCTTGCATGCTGTGGCCCGGTACCGTCCACGGACTGGGGTTGGGGACCCCTGATATAAACAGAGCAAGTGCCTAGTTGGTCATGAAATGACTGCAAGGAAACTGCCAAGCCCAGAAAGCACGAAGGACTCGGCAGTTTAACTCTGAGCTACATACATTCCCTTCTTTTGGCATGAATCAAATTTTAATTCATTCCACTTGCTTTAGAACAGTGGTTCTCAACCTTTTTAATGCCGCGACCCCCAACCGGTCGTAAGTCGAGGACTACTCAACTGGTGCAGCACCGTTTGCAGAATGGGACTTTTGGCGGGCTCAGCAGGGCAGAGACAGACTGGACAATTCCTATTGGCTTTTGAAAGCCAATAGAATTAGACTCTATTCAAGAGAGTCTATTCTATTGGCTTTCAAAAGCCAGTAGAATAAAAGGGAGTAGCACAGCTAAGGAAAAGGGGGAAAAAATGGCAGACTGCGTTGTTTGGCGACCCCCGTGAAATGGTTGTTCGACCCCAAATGGGGTCCCGACCCACAGGTTGAGAACCACTACTTTAGAATGTAAAACTGTGGCACTGGATTCTGTTTGCACTGGTCGAAATGGCCCAAAGTGACCGATGGAAGTTCACTAGCTGGACTTGCCTTCCTCTTGAACCAGTCAAATAAAGACCCCCTGCAGTTACGTTTGCTCACCCCACTCCCCTTTCTGGACTCCTTTGAGGGCAGAGCAACCTATAATTTAGCAAATAAGCCCATTGGGTACAGTGTATAGGTAATCCTCGGGTTAAAACCATAATGGAGCCTACCTATCATGGTCATAATCGTCATAAAAACCATCATATTTTTGTTGCAGCGTTCTTAAATGAATCGGCACAGTTATGAAGCAAACTAAAGGTTTTGCTACGGCTCTGATTTTCCTGAAAACCAGAAGTAAAATACCTGTTTTCAGCAAAAGTGTCGTAGAACAGTCACGCGACCGTGGGATGCCGCAAAGAGCCCTCTGTGACACCCGGTTGTGGAGTGCCAAAGTGATTGGGTGGGGCGACCGCCGGAGCTTTTAACCCTGTTTGCCGGTACCCCCTCCCTGGGTAGACCCACTGGACCCACAAACGGCCCCAAGTTGAGGGCTCCCTATATTATGCAAGCTAAGAAAAGAGGTGAATTCAGTTGAGGCTGCTGTGTGAGTGCAGTCAAACCAAAGCAGACTTTCGTATCTTGAGCAGCAGAGCGACAGGTGGAGTGCTCCTCTCCCACGGTGCAGGCGCCGGGGAATCGTCTCTTGTGGGACGTGGTTTCGTCACCGCCTGCGCCCCTGGAAGGAAGGTCGTTTGTTGTGCAAACATTAAAAGAGTGCTTCTCAACCTTGGCAACTTTAAGATGTGTGGAGTTCAACTCCCAGCATTCGTGGCAACTGGGGAGCTCTGGCAGTTGAATATGCCACGTTTGAGAAGCTCTGCACTAAAACAAGAAGATTAAATTTAACCCCAAACAGTTAAACGTAAGAGGAAGGCACTCGCAAAGGTAAAGTGACATCTGAAATGGTAAAGGGCAGGGGTCCACAATCCCTGGGCTACAGCCCACTACCGGTCCGTGGCGTATTTGGAACTGGGCCGTGCGAGCGGCGGGCAAGCCATGTACCGCTCGATTTTTGCAAGTGGTGGGCCAGCATGTGTGCACATGGGCACGGTACTCGAGTTGCATAAGTCGAGTTATGCATACACGTATCAGCCCACCGCTCACGCAGCCCAATTCCTCCCCGCTGCCCCCCCCCCACAGCCAGGCCACCAAGTCACAAAGGTTGGGGACCGCTGGTATAGGTTCTCCTGGTGGGGCAGGGGTTGGACTAGAAGACCTCCAAGGTCCCTTCCAGCTCTATTCTATTCTAAATTCTAAACTCCTGCCAGTCAGTCATAGTGTGGGGACCGCTTAGCTCAGCCAGTTGACCCTAACCATCCTTCAGAAAAAACAGCTGGAGAGAAAAGCAAAAACTTGAACAATGTAAGGTGCTTCTGTGCTGCAGAACCACAGTAGGAGGTTTCTGCTTTTCTGCTTTTCAAGCCACTTGCTGTAGGGGCCGAGCCACGTTTGCTGCTGCTGTGGGGGGAGGGTGGCAATCTCGTACAGAAGGAAGCCTCCCCATGGTGCAGTCTCAGCTGGAAGACCCCGAAGGGTGAATTCTTGAACCATTTACAGGCAGCCCTCATTAACAACCATTTGCAGCCGAGCTGAGTGGGTAGTGTGTATAACTGGTCCTCGAAGTGCCAGCCGAAACTGCGATCTGGGCACTTGGAAACCATCCCGGATTTCCAACTGTTGCAGCATCCCACGGTCACACAATTGCAATTTGCAGTTAGCGGTTTCTCACAAACAAAGCCAACGAGGAAGCTGACAGGCACATTCAGAAGCCATGATCCAGTGAGGTCCTTGCTGAGCTGCCCCGTGGTAGCCAGGAACGCCCAGGATTGCCGACCCTAAGCAACGTGATCACTTGGCGTTGTGCTTTACGACCACATCAATTGGTGGTGGAAATTTGGGCCCCAATGACCGTTAAGTGAGGACTCCCTGCAGTCTAATTCGGGGATCCCCAACCCCTGAGCTGCAGCCTACTATCGAGCGTTGAGCCGTTTGGAACCGGCCGTGGAAGTGGAGGGTGAACGCGTGCACGCTTGCCCACGACTCGCAGGGAACTGTCCCTTCTTCCCGCCCTCCCCGCCGGTCCACAAAGCCAGAAAGGTTGGGGAACTTTGGTCTAAGTCAGTGGTTCTCAACCTTTTTAATGCCGCGACCCCCCCCCAACTTGTCGTAAGTCGAGGACTACTCAACCGGTCGTAAGTCGAGGACTACTCAACTGGTGCAGCACCATTTGCAGAATGGGACTTTTGGCGGGCTCAGCAGGGCAGAGACAGCCTGGACAATTCCTATTGGCTTTTGAAAGCCAATAGAATTAGATTCTATTCAAGAGAGTCTATTCTACTGGCTTTCAAAAGCCAATAGAATAAAAGGGAGGAGCACAGCTAAGGAAAAGGGGAGAAAAAATGGCGGACTGCGTTGTTTGGCGACCCCCGTGAAATGGTCGTTCGACCCCAAATGGGGTCCCGACCCACAGGTTGAGAACCACTGGTCTAAGTGCACGCTGGCAAGGAGACCCAGCGTGCTGGGGGAGCCCGTTCAGGGGCACAGCGCAACGGGGTGATGCACCCCAGTAGGGCTTGCAGGGGGTTCTAGCAAGGTAAATCCCACCCCTGCTCTCCCCAGGGCTACCAGACTGGAGAAGACGGCCTCCCCCGAGTAAGAGTGGGTCCATACAATGGACAGCGAGATGGGCGGCGTATAAATGGGAAAAGTAAACGGGCACGTGCCGCAGCCTTTGGGAGGATGGCAAATGGGACGATGGTCACCTGGACTGCTTTGCTTTCTTCTCTGCTCCCCGCAGATTCCCCAGTGAGCACCCCCAGGAGAGTGAGCTGGAGGACTCAGCAGACCCGGAGGGATGAGCCAAGGTTTCATTTTCATTCAAAAACTGCACACTTGTGGCTGTTAGCTGGGCTCCGGCCAGCCCCCCCCCCTCCCGCTGGCCAGAAAGCACTGGATTGGGAGGCAAGGAGGTGCGCTCCTCCGTCTCCTCTGCTACTAACCACAGACCGTTTACACTTCTCCCAAGCCTCTGACCCACTGCTTCTACTTTTATTTATTTTCTTAGCCTGTTAGTTCTTGTTTTTTTTATTTTTTATTTTGGGGAGGTTGGTGGGGTGGGGTGGGATGGGTGGGCGAGATCAGCACTCTCATTTTCCTGGTTCTTTCGCTCTTTTTCGGAGCTGCCGAAGAACCGTTTATTTTATTTTATTTTTGGGGGTGACTGTGTGTAGGTAGTTTTTATCAAGGAATATTTTTATTTGGCTTTGAAAATCGTTTGTTTGTTTTAGATATATATATAAATATATTATATATATATATATATTGAGATGGGGAAAAATATGGACTCGGTCACAAAAAGAACCAAGTCTTTTTAAAGGACTGGTTGGTATACAACTAAAGCAATTTCCGAAGGGAAGAGAGAGAGAGCAGCTGAGAGGCTGAAGCATTTAATAGTTTATCTGTCTCTCTTTTTTAAACAAGGAATGTTTTTTTTTCTGTCAATGTGAGGCTTTTGAGACCTACAGAATTAACAGGATGTGAACACTCGGGGCATTGCTGTGGAACAAATACAAACTGTATATTTTGCTAAGTGAGAAAAAACACTATTCCTTATTTCTGATTTTTTTTTTCCTCCCTGGTTTTTAGATTTTAGGCTCCTATGAGTTTGTTATTACTGTATTTTCCCCTTGATCTTTTTGTATCATATGTAAATCGTGCAAGGCTCTCTTAGGCCTTGTCTTCACAACAGAGGACCTTGGACCGTTGATTCTTTCTCTTTCTTTCTTTCTTTCTTTCTTTCTTTCTTTCTTTCTTTCTTTCTTTCTTTCTTTCTTTCTTTCTTTCTTTCTTTCTTTCTTTCTTTCTTTCTTTCTTTCTTTCTTTCCCTCTTTTGGGCTTTGAAGCCAACAATGTGAGCAATATTCTCTGTTTGGACCACGACAAACCTCCTTTCTTTTTATACCTTTTGCTGTAAGCTTTTATGACTTCTGATGAGATGGGGGTGGGGGTGGGAGGGCAGGGCAGGGCAGGGATGGGACGGGACGGGATGGGCAGGGGGAGGGACGGGAAGGACGGCGAGGTGGGCAAGAGACAGGGTGGGGAGGGCTGGGTGGGAGCCACGTAACCAGCAGGGCCTGTTAGGCTGAGCAAGATGCACCGCTCGTGTGGCCTGAGCCCACAAGAGCACTTTTGCCTGGCGGCTGGTCTCCGTTGATGCTTGGGCCCATGGACAACTCTCTCAATATTTGCCACTTTCTGCCAAGGGGGGGGGGGTCATGGCTTGCAAGGGCCCGGGGGTGTCTGTGGGACAGGCATCTGCTCATATCTGGCAAAGGAGTCAAGGAGTGGAGCAGACCCAGACCGTCTCAGGGGTCTCGGAAGGAGAGGCAAAAGCCAGCCCCCCCCCCGGCACATTTTTTTCCTTTTTTGCAGCCATGTGCAGCTGCCACATCAGCTGTTTGAGCTTCAACATATCAGGAGATCGATGTTCCAGTGCCTGGGGAGAGGACCTCTCTCCAGAAAAGAGAACCATTTATTTTCCCATAACACAGTGTTTCTCAACCTTGACCATTTTAAGGCATGTGGACTTCAACTCCCAGAATTCCACAGCCAGCATTGCTGGCTGTGGAATTCTGGGAGTTGAAGTCCACATGCCTTAAAATGGTCAAGGTTGAGAAACACTGCAACACATCCCCTGTCTTTTCCATTCCAGGCCTTGCTTCCTCGCCCCCCCCCCGTGTCATTTGAGGCTGTTGCCCCAGAGAAGCCGGGGGAGGGGAGGGTCTGCCCTTTCTTTGCAGTGCATTCGCATGGCATCCTTTGCCAGGGGTGGATGGAGGGAACAGGGTGTCCTCAGTCTTTGGGGGAGGGTCTTTTGCTATTCAGGTTCAGGGTCTCCCCTGAAGCTCAGTTTAGAACCCAAACATGTTTGGGTTTTATATTTGCCAAGAGTTTTACAATTGTGCGGATACAAAAATGAAACGAATAAATAGATTGTCTCCAGGTGCCGCAAGAGGGATCTGCTATCCCAGGGGTAGGCAACCTTGGCTCTTTTATGACTGGTGGACTTCAACTCCCAGAATTCCTGAGCCAGCATGGCTCAGCTTGGAAACCTCTCCCTTTCCCCTCAGTGTGGCTGGCTCAGGAATTCTGGGAATTGAAGTCCACGAGTCATAAAAGAGCCGAGGTTGCCTACCCCTGTTCAAATGCCTGAATTTTGATCATGTGACCATGAGGGAAAAATATCTAAATATTTAAACCAGAGGTCTTCAAACTTAGCCCTTTTATGACTGGTGGACTTCAACTCCCAGAATTCCTGAGCCAGCCTGGCTCAGCTTGGAAACCTCTCCCTTTCCCCTCAGCATGGCTGGCTCAGGAATTCTGGGAATTGAAGTCCACGAGTCATAAAAGAGTCAAGGTTGCCTACCCCTGTGCTATCCCATCTTTTTGCTTTGTCCCAGGCTCTTTCCAGGTGGTGGCCATCTTTGGTTACTGCATGTTCCTGAGTCTTTCTAGATGCAGTGTTCATGCGAGCCAGGAATTCTGCACATGGCAGCCCCAAGGCGTGCAGAGGCTGGGTATTGACACGGGGAGAGGGAATTGGGGCCTGCAGTTAGCAGTATCCCCAGTGTCCGATTGAGGCCGCAGGAGATGGGAAACACCTTGCAGGGAGAAAACAACATCAGGAACCTGGCCTTTATGAATCTTATTCCTTGCATGCCAGTTTTCTGTCTGCCAGAAGTTAAGTTTTAATTCAAGTTTTTAGCTTGTTGGGTTTTGCCTCTCAGCCTAAAGCAGTGTTTCTCAACCTTGACAATTTTAAGGCATGTGGACTTCAACTCCCAGAATTCCACAGCCAGCAATGCTGGCTGTGGAATTCTGGGAGTTGAAGTCCACATGCCTTAAAATTGTCAAGGTTGAGAAACACTGGCCTAAACTCTAAGAAAGGATTGGCTTTTCCCCATGCAGATCCTTTGCCTCCTTCCTTCCCCTTCTTCCTTTCCCACAGTCTCGGCCCCAGATTCCCACTGGCAGAATCCCCCCCTTAAGCAACGTGAAAAATATTGGGAGAGTTTTCTTGGTGGCAGAAGAAGAAGAAGAGAGAGGGAAACTCAGCTAATTAATACTGGAAACACAAAGCAATAATTTTTGTTAACGCAGATGAATATGTTTGTCTGGTTTTTTTTCTAAAGAAGAAATAAAAAAGCAGCCACAATCTATCACAGTCCCCCCCACCCCCCAAAAAAAACAACCCTGGTGCCTCTGGAGAGGACAGATGCAGCACCTCTCAACCCTGCCAGCAGGGGGGGGGCTCCAGGTTGGGAATGTCTGATGGAAGGGGCTTATTTTTATTCTAGTCTTGGCTGGGGGGGGGTCAGGGGGGGTGACTGTCGAGTGGCACTCTTGTACCTCCTCTTGGGCACACACGCTGGGCTACTTCTATGCCAACCTTCTTTTTTAAAAGAAAATAAAGCTGTGTTTTTTATTAAGCCGGTTTTATTATATGTCAATGTTTGTTCTCACCATGCCTGTAACCCCCGCCTTTCCCCTCCCCCAGATTTTCTGTTTTAAATTCCTAATAAATTATTTGAAAACAGCTCTGGCTCTGTGCTCTGCAAAAGGTGAGGGTTTCAAGACGCTTGGGGAGGGGGGGGGGCTCTTCCAGGGTGGGCTCCCTCCGGTGGGTGTGCAGGTTTGTGGCTGATTGCAAAGGTTTGACCAGCTGCAGGAGAGCTAAAAATCAAATTATGGGCACCTCTGGAGTGTGCTGCGTACTGTACTTGGGGTCTCCTAAACCAGTGGTGGCGAACCTATGGCACGGGTGCCAGAGGCGGCACTCGGAGCCCTCTCTGTGGGCACACGTGCCGTTGCCCCAGCCTTGCCTCCCCCCGTGTCCCCTCCTCACCAGCAGCCCCCCTGGAGGAGAGTCACCCCCGAGCGTGGCCCACACGGAGCAGCGCAGCCAAGGACATGGCAGCCAGGCAGCGTAGACAAGACTCTGCCCTCACGCCCTATCACGCACAACTACCTGACCAGGTTATTCTTACCCGAGGTGGGTGGGTGAGATGGGACTAGGACAGGGGTAGGCCACCTTGGCTCTTTGATGACTCGTGGACTTCAACTCCCAGAATTCCTGAGCCAGCCACGCTGAGGGAAAAGGGAGAGGTTTCCAGGCTGAGCCATGCTGGCTCAGGAATTCTGGGAGTTGAAGTCCACCAGTCATAAAAGAGACAAGGTTGCTTACCCCTGCCCAAATGCCTGAATTTTGATCATGTGACCGTGAGGAAAAATATTTAAACCAGGGTCTTCAAACTTAGCCCTTTTATGACTGGTGGACTTCAACTCCCAGAATTCCTGAGCCAGCATGGGGGAACTATGGCCCCCTCATGACTTGTGGACTTCAACTCCCAGAATTCCTGAGCCAGCATGAGGGAAACTTTGGCCCCCTCATGACTTGTGGAGTTCAACTCCCAGAATTCCTGAGCCAGCATGGGGGAACTATGGCCCCTTCATGACTGGTGGACTTCAACTCCCAGAATTACTGAGCCAGCGTGGGAGAATTATGGCCCCCTCATGACTTGTGGACTTCAACTCCCAGAATTCCTGAGCCAGCATGGGGGAACTATGGCCCCTTCATGACTGGTGGACTTCAACTCCCAGAATTCCTGAGCCAGCGTGGGGGAACTATGGTCCCCTCATGACTTGTGGACTTCAACTCCCAGAATTCCTGAGCCAGCATGGGGGAACTATGGCCCCTTCATGACTGGTGGACTTCAACTCCCAGAATTCCTGAGCCAGCATGGCTCAGCTTGGAAACCTCTGGCTGGCTGAGGAATTCTGGGAGTTGAAGTCCACGAGTCATCAAGGGACCAAGGTTCCCCATCGCTGATCTAGTCTAACCAAGAGCAGGACGCGGGCTGATAGGAGAGACGAGAGGGAAACCTGGATTCGCTTCAAAGCCCCCTGACTCACTTAACAACCGTCAAGATGCCGGCCCGCGTCTGCCATGAGACGAGCGACGCGCAGAAAGTGGCTTTCGCGCCCCCCCCCCCTCGGCGGCCATCTGGGCTGGCTGATCCGCTGCGGCCGCTTCCCTCCGGGCTGCCCCGAGGAAGCCGCCTCGCGGCCCCCCAGCGCTCCCGGACGGGTTCGGGGCTGTCGCCCACTGCCGGCCTGCGCGGGCCAAAGGGATGCGGACCGCAGGGAGAGCAGCGCCCCTCCCGCGGCGGCGGCGGCGGCGTGTCACAATGTAGCCGCCCGACGGGACGGGCCGCGCCGGCTGAGCGGCGGCAGCGAAGCCCGAAGCAGCGCCGCGAACCCGCCGGGCAGCAGCCGCGCCAGCGCTCTCGGGGACAGGCAAGCCGCGGCCCTCGTCGCCGAACCGCCCCTCCCGGCCAGCCCCTCCGCGGGCGCCGCCTTGGAGCCCCTGTGGAGGGGCCCTTGGAGCGCCGGGCGGGAGGGCTCGCCCCCCCCCAGCCGCCCCCGGCCTGGGGGGCTCCGGAGAGGCAGGCGGTGCAGCAGCCGGGGGCAAGGATCCGCCTAGGGCGCCCCAGGCACCGGCTGCCAACTTTCTCCCGTGGGGGGGGGGGGTGAACTACCACTCCCAGCATCCCTAGGAAGCACGACTCGTGGCAAAGGGTGCTGGGAGTTGTAGTCCTACATCTGGAGAGGCAGAGGTTGCGCCTTTGGGGGTCTGAAAACCCCAGCAAAGGCGGCGAGGTCTTCCTCTACTGCTCACCCATCCTGATCTCCCCCCCCCTTGCTGCTTTTTGCCTTTGGGGAGCACTGCTCTCTTAACCTGCTCAGAGGTAACCTTCCCTGCCTCGCCATGGAGGATGGGGGGGGGGACAGAATTCCTCTGTGCCTGACTCTTCCCCTCCCTTCTGGCCGAGGCATGCAGGATGGAGACCCTGGAGGAATTCGACAGTGAGTACCCGCTCGTCCTGTCCTTCTGCGAGCGGATCGCCCCCCAGGATTACGAGGGCCAGGCCCTGAGCTACACCCAAAGGTCCCTGCAGGAGCTGTTTGCCCAGATGGAGCGGAACCCCAGCATCTGCGAGCGGGCGGTGCGCAAGCGGAAGCAGGCCGAGAACGAGAGGGGCAGCCTGGGGCAGTACCTCAAGGTGAGGCTGCCGCTGGCCGAGGGAGAGGAAGCTTCCCGTCGCCAGAAGGACCCTGGGATGGGCAGGGGTGCCGTCCCCTCCTGGTCGGGGTGCAGCAGAGACTTTGGTCCCTTTAGGGCAGTGGTTCTCAACCTTTTTAATGCCGCGACGCCCAACCGGTCGTAAGTCGAGGACTACTCAACCGGTCGTAAGTCGAGGACGACTCAACTGGTGCAGCACCGTTTGCAGAATGGGACTTTTGGCGGGCTCAGCAGGGCAGAGACAGCCTGGACAATTCCTATGGGCTTTGGAAAGCCAATAGAATTAGACTCTATTCAAGAGAGTCTCTTCTATTGGCTTTCGAAAGTCAATAGAATAAAAGGGAGTAGCACAGCTAAGGAAAAGGGGGGAAAAATGGTGGACTGCGTTGTTTGGCGACCCCCATGAAATGGTCGTTCGACCCCAAATGGGGTCCCGACCCACAGGTTGAGAACCACTGCTTTAGGGTCTGCAGGGCAGGATCAAAAAGTCAGCTCAGCGCATGCGCGGCGCCCCCCATGCGCGGCGCCCCCCATGCGTGGCGCGCATGCGCAGCACCGCCCTCTGAGGGGGGAAAATGGCGGATCACGTTTGGCGACCCCCGTAAAATGGTCGTTCGACCCCAAATGGGGTCGCGACCCATAGGTTGAGAACCGCTGGAATAGACTTTCTTGAATAGAGTCTAATTCTATTGGCTTTCAAAAGCCAACAGGAATTGTCCAGGCTGTCTCTGCCCTGCTGAGCCCGCCAAAAGTCCCATTCTGCAAACGGTGCTGCACCAGCTGAGTAGTCCTCGACTTACGACCGGTTGAGTAGTCCTCGACTTACGACAGGTTGGGGTTGCGGCATTAAAAAGGTTGAGAACCACTGGTCTAAGGGCTATTTCTACTACTGCTTTGCTCTCTTCCAGGCCAGGTTCTTTGCCCTGCTGCAGGGCGATGTGAATTACGACAACTCCTTGGGGGAAATAGAGATGGAGGAAAAAGTCGAGCAACTCAAGCGGGAGATGGAGAAGGCCAACGATTACGCCCGCGGTAACTCTGCCTTTCCTCACCCTTGTACCTGTGTTTTGTGCTCAGGTGTTTTCCTGTCCCTCCCTCCCTCCCTCCCCTGGACACTTTGAATAGCTATGAGACCCGAGGCAGTCACAATGCTGACCTCAGGAGCCACCTTCTGCATTGCCCTTCCAGAAAAACTCCTGAGATCATCCCCACAACATAACTGGCTGCATTCACACGTGGCAAGGGGTTTCAGACTTTCTCAAGCTGAAGAACTTGTTAATTAAAAAAAAACTAAACTTCAGGGAACCCTGACACAGTTAGAAAACTGTGTTTGAGCTAAATTCTTTTTTTCTCAGTCTTTCCTGGAACCCTTACAAAACCCATTTTGGAGCCTCCCCCTCCCCCCAGCCCCCTGCACAATCAGGCCTCTGAACCACGGCTGCAATCCAGTGACCAGCAGCCAAGTGATACAGACAAGTCCACCCTGGGCTGTTCTCCAGGGACTGCATGTTGCAGCCAGAACTGGTAGTAGCCCAAATGTTGTGAGTAGCTGGTTGTTGCCTTAGCACAGTGATGGTGAACCTTTCAGAGACCGAGTGCCCAAACTGCAACCCAAAACCCATTTATGCATCATTGGGTGCCAGGTGGGTGTGGCCCATTGGGTGGATGTGGCCCATTGGGTGGGCATGGCTGCGGTGGTAACAGCAGACTGGGTGGGACTAAAGTTCAATCAATCAATTCCAACTTTGCAAGATCTTTCCCCCCCCCCCGCAAGAAGTTGAAATTGATTGATTGATTGAAATTTTTTTTTTTTTTTTGCACACGGCGGCGGAGGCCTAAAGCAAAAAGGTTTTATACAACCCAGCTGAAGGCCTAGGACTGGGGCGATGGAACATGTGCCCACAGAGAGGGCTCTGAGTGCCACCTCTGGCACCCGTGCAATAAGTTCGCCACCACTGTCTTAGCATATGGTAATGAACTAATCCGGCACTGAGCCCCAGTGACATGCAGAGCATGCAGTGTTTTGTGAATGTGGCAATGGTGTTTTTTATTAAGCTTCAGCTGAGAGTTGCAGGAGCCCCTCCGGTGAATCCTGAAGAAGCCACATCTTTTTGCTGGAGACTCCCGCTGTCTTTCCAGCTGGGCTGCCCAGTTGCTCTACCCAAGCCAGACGCCCTGTGCACTCCCTGAGCATTCTTGCATGGCCCCCCAGCTTCGCCAGTGGTAATCTGGAGCAGCCAAAACCAGAACTGCATCCACTTGACCTGCTCAGGCATGCAGGACCCTGGGCAAATGCAACTCTTTGAAAAAAGGGCTCGGCAGCCCCATTTATAGCCCCAAAATGGAGAGAGAGAGAGAGAGCGCAAGGCTTGATCACTCCTTGCTGTCTTTTTCCTCGCCATGTGTACCTGCCAGGTGTATTTTGAAAGAATGCGTTCCAGATTTAGGAAATAAAAATTGTGTACAGACATCAATCTTTGCTTTGCGGCATGCCGGTGTCTCATTAAAGTAAAAACAAAACACAACTTAATGCAATTAGGGGCCCAAAGAATAAGATAAAATCAGACGAGCAGGGGAGTCTGCCGTGTGTGTGTGTGTGTGTGTGTGTGTGTGTGTGTGTGTGTGTGTGTGTGAGAGAGAGAGAGAGAGAGAGAGAGAGAGAGAGAAGAAAGTCAGGATGGTGATCACAATCATGCAAAGAAAGTCTTGCCCCTTTTTGTGCATTAGAGCAGTGGTTCTTAACCTTTTTGAACGAATCGCCCCCTTGAGCCAATGAGAAAGTTGTCATCGCCCCCCTCCCCCAACACAACCTCTCAATCACAACATGGGAAATAATTCCTCAATTTATGCAAACACTTTTTTTTGTTTGCTTTAAAATTGTCATCAGGACATAGCGATGCAAATAATTTATTTCCAGTCTTTTCCCCATATCTCAACTGTGTGAAAAATGTTGGTGCCCCCCGTCACTTTATTCCCAAACTTCGTGATACATGTATTTCATTATTATCGTATTTATTCAAGACACTTCAATGTAATGACCACTGAAAACAAAATTCAATTGCAAGAAAGTGAAATGCCCGAAAAGAAAAACAGTAACATTTAATAATTGAATTACAAGTGAAATTTAAGACGCAAAAAGAAATATAAAAAGGGTAGAGGCTGCTGTGCAATGCGCATGAAGATAAGCGATGCGTATTCACATGTGTACGGCGTGCTGTCCTGAAGCTAGCTGGAGGAACATTTGAAAACACAATTCAATCCACTAATAGCGAGCGATCTGATGTTTTTGTACGACAGATATACAGCGATTCACTGTATGAAAAAGTCTCAAAAGTGTCCCCAAAACTTCTCGCTCCATCGCCCCCATATCGCCCCCTTTTTGTTCCTTCGCCCCCCTGAAAAACGAAATCACCCCCTGGGGGGCAATATCGCCCAGGTTAAGAACCACTGCATTAGAAGAATCGCATTTATATGGTTGTGGTCGCCATGTTGACTTTCTTGACCTCCTGCAGGGGATGCTTGCAGCCTGGCGGGAGCCACTGGCCAACGAGGCTCCAACATGGCTCAGCCACGTTCAGCTCAGCTTTGTTTCATTTCAGCTGCCAAGACCTCATCCTGGAGGCCGGCCGAGAGGAGAATCCGGAGGCCCATCCTGATGGGAGGGTTCAGCCCGACAGAGGCCAAGCCCTGGGACCCGGGCCTTCCAGCCATGCCCAAAATCTTCGGTTCTTTCCCAAAGCAGGTTGGTGTTTCTCACCTCTGCACCCTCTTGCCTTTCCAGATGTTGTCCCTCTGCGTTGAAGGGGAAAGTATAGTTACAAGCAAAGGGACTGTCTCCCACAGAGGGGGCTGGATCCAGAGGTTTCAGTGGCCTCTATTATGGCATTTTTAGAGTCAGGGAAGAGTTTTATATTATATCTATCTATCTATCTATCTATCTATCTATCTATCTATCTATCTATCTATCTATCTATCTATCTTAAATATTCTGGGCCTTTTTTATTACTGGGATTTTATGCTGGGTTTACTGCTCCTACTTCTGATTTTCAACTGATTATCTTCCTCCATTTTCTTCTTAAAAGCCTCCAGTGATGGGACACCCACAAGTTCTGAAGGCGGCCATTCCTCTGGTTGATTGTTCTCACCGTTAGGAAATTACTCCTTAGTTCTAGGGCAGGGCTTTTCAACCAGTGGTACAGGTACCACCTGTGGTACATTGGCACCTGGCAGGTGGTACGCGACCATCCTAGAAAAGTGGTAGTGGGGGAGGGGAATGAGCTGAACCGGTGGCAGCACCGCACAAGCCTGAGCGAGAGACGGCTGGAGCTGCAGGGCTGTCAGGGCTCAGCGGAAGCGCCAGGATCAGCACCAGGTTCCAGCTGGAAAGCAGCACTGATCCTGGTGCTTCTGCTGAGCCCAGAAGAACTACTGATCAGCTGTAATGTTGCAGCATCTCCAGGGTCTTGTGATTTACATTCAGATGCTTGGCAACTGATTCATATTTATGACGGTCACAGTGTCCCAGGGTCATGTGAAGTGACAAAAACCTGCTGCAACCACCCAGCAGACAGGGGGAATAAAAACCAAACACCCCCACCCCACCCCTGCTGCAAATCCTCAACAGAAATGCTCACAACAATGAAAACCTCAGACAGGAGGAAGAGCGCCACCGGGCGGGCAGGCAGGTGTCTTGCTCGGCTGTGGCTTGGGGGGCACTTTTTTCAGTGCCATTGTAACTTCGAACAGTCACTAAATGAACTGATATAAGTCGAGGACTACCTGTACTTTATTACTTTTTTCCTTTTTTTTTGGTCATCAAGTTTTTGACACCTTGCTGGGCAACTGGTGGTACTCGGATATTGCCATATCCTAAAAATGGTACAATGGGTGAAAAAGTTGAAAAGCCCTGTTCTAAGTTGCTTCTCTCCTTGATTAGTTTCCATCCATTGTTTCTTGTCCTGCCCTTAGGTACTTTGGAGAATAGGTTGACTCCCTCTTCTTTCTGGCAGCCCCATAAATATTGGAACACTGCTATCATGTCCCCCCTAGTTCTTCTTTTCTCTAGACCAGCCATACCCAGTTCCTGCAACTGTTCTTCATATGTTTTAGCCTCCAGAACCCTGATCATCCTAGTTGCTCTTCTCTGCGCTCTTTCAAATATTTTTCTTCTTCTTGGGGAGAGTGGATTTTGTATAATGCCTGCCTTGAGAGTGTATGTTCGCAAGTAAACATCATACAGCCCAAGAAAACCTATTTCTAGGATTGACTCTGGCTTGTTCAGCAAACCCTGGAGCTTGTTGGATGTGTTCATATATTGTGCTTTTCACGTTCTTGGACTTGTTAAAGAGAGAGGATTTCCGCCACTTCTTCCTAATTCCCCAGGAAAGACCATGGCTTGTATTGAATATAAGACGCTGCTCTCTACCCCGACAGGTGGAGAAAAACAATACAGACTTGAAGCAGCTTTGGGCCGGCATGTCACCTGTCAATCAAAAGAGGTCAGAAGCCAGACAGGGCGGAAGAAGCTGTAGAAACGAGGTAGAATTGTCACCTTCACACGACTTCCTGAGCCACCCCTGGGCTTGCAGGGTTTCTCAAGCTCAGCAACTCTTAAGATATTTGGACTTCAACCCCAGAAGTCCCTAGCAAGCAGGAATTCTGGGAGCTGAAGTCCATACGAAAGAAGGCAAATGTATGTGTCCCAAGATAATGTTGCAGGATCCAATCGAGGTTGGTCACTATGTAAGGACCTATCTGTTAACGCTGCTAACACTGGGTGTTCTTGCTTTGACAATATATAAAGAGGCAGCTGCTCTCTGTATAAGCTCTGTGGTATTTTTAGAGTTAAATTAGATGATGCTGGGAGGGGAGGAGAATGAATGTGGAATGGAATGGAATAGAATAGAATAGAATAGAATAGAATAGAATAGAATTCAGAATGAATGGAATGGAGTGGAGTAGAGTAGAGTAGAGTAGAGTAGGAATGGAATGGAACAGAACAGAACAGAACAGAACGGAAGAAAATAGAATAGAATAGACTAGAACAGAACAGAATAGAATAGAATAGAATTCAGAATGAATAGAATAGAATAGAATAGAATAGAATAGAATAGAATAGAATAGAATAGAATAGAATAGAGATGGAATGGAACGGAACAGAACAGAATGGAACAAAATAGAATAGAATAAAGATAGAATAGGATAGGACAGGACAGAATAGAATAGAATTCTTTATTGGCCAAATGTCATTGGACACATAAAGAATTGGGGGTTCCTATATTGCCTAGACAAGGCGAGTTTGAGTTCACTGGGCCTCAAATAACCATCTATATAACAAAGATAATGCTTCTTTGAAGAGAAAAACTGATGCTGCAGCATTGGAAAATTGTATGTATAGCCGCAGTTACTCATTGGATTGAGGAGTCGACTACACCTGTTATCTATGAGTGGATTGCCTACAAATGTATGGATAAATATAATGAAATAATGCGACTCAGTTTTTACAAAGTATAGTAGGTTAAAAACGCGGAAATTATATGATCAGCCTGAATGGTTGTAAGTCAGCCAGGTTCACTTAACAACCATGTTACGAACTTAACAATTGCAACAATTCATTTAACAACGGTGGGCAAGCGAAGTTGTAAAATGGGGGCAAAACTCACTTAACAAATGTTTCACTGAGCCACATAATCTTTGGGCTCAATGGTTGCTGTACGCCGAGGACTAGCTGCATTTTTTTCACGTTTTTAAAAAAGTACCTTCTGTGTGTTTTTATTTCTTTGATAAAGTCTTAAAGTTGCTGAGGGTGAGAAACTGGGCTGGGCTAGAGCTGGCTGCATTTCGGCCTTGCTTCCTCTGCAAAGCCGGCCCCCACAGGACCAGTGTGTGAGCCAGGGGGTCATGTGAATCCAGGCAGTTGGGCTAACTTAACCAAGTCCTGCCAACAGTGCTAATGTGGCCTTTTTATGACTGGTGGACTTCAACTCCCAGAATTCCTGAGCCAGCATGGCTCAGCTTGGAAACCTCTCCCTTTCCCCTCAGCGTGGCTGGCTCAGGAATTCTGGAAGTTGAAGTCCACAAGTCACAAAAGAGCCAAAGAGCTCTAGGCTGGTGTTTCTCAGCCTTAGTTAAGATGGACTTCGACTCCCAGAATTCCTCAGCCAGCATGATCATTGCAAAGGATACAGGGAATTGAAGTCCATGCATAAAGAATGGTCTAGGCCAAGGCTAGGCAACCTTGGCTCTTTTATGACTCGTGGACTTCAACTCCCAGAATTCCTGAGCCAGCATGGCTCAGCTTGGAAACCTCTCCCTGTCCCCTCAGCATGGCTGGCTTAGGAATTCTGGGAGTTGAAGTCCACAATCATAAAAGAGCCAAGGTTGCCTACCTCTGGCCTAGGCCTAGGCTGCTTTATGACTGGTGGACTTCAACTCCCAGAATCCCTGAGCCAGCATGGCTCAGCTTGGGAACCTCTCCCTTTCCCCTCAGCATGGCTGGCTCAGGAATTCTGGGAGTTGAAGTCCACCATAAAAGAGCCCAGATTCCCCACCCCTGCCCTATAAGAAGTAGGAGGGGAAGGGAGGGGGTAATTCAACTTGCATTGGATTGGCCAGGGTGGAAGGCAAGGTAATCAGTGTGGGAGGAACTGGGCTGGGCAGGAACCCATGGGGGGAACTGAAAAGAGGGGGGCCAAGTTGACTGGGCATCCCATGGAAGGAATGAGGTGCAGAGCGGGTGCGAGGGTGATCAGAGGGAATCTGGCATCTGCTCGGCTGCCACGGATCCTAGTGGTGATGGGGAGGGGGTGGGAGGGACCCAGTCTCCCTCAAAAGAGCCGCACCCAGGGGAGAGGAAGGAAGGCCTGGGTGCAGAGGTGCCCATGGGCTCTGGGGCACGGTCTCCGTAGGACTCCTCTTTCCTTTTTCCCATCCTTCACAGCTTGGTTGACTTACGCCCGCTAATGCTGAACCCCGGTGGATTTCGTCCGTCGTTTCTCAACAGCAACTCCATCAGCCGGCTGAAATACACTTTCCCAAGGTATGTGTACCTTCATTCATTGGTGTATTTTCCTTGGACCATTTTTTTCTCTTAAGGTGGCAGACCTGGCAGTGGATCCAACAAGGTAAGTTTGCGTTGTAATGTCTTAAGTCAGGAGACTCAGCGATGGTGCCAGGGGCTGTCCTTATCAACGTGCCAGCTTGCCAGCCTGCCTTTCTGCAGGTGCAGTAGATTGAGAGGCTCCCTCTCAGAGTAAGGGAATCTGGGGCTGGCCTCACTCGGTCACCAGTTGCAGCAAGAACCACCCCAAAAAGGAGTGAGAGGGAACCACGGGCGGGGGAAAGGAAAAAAGTTTCATCCTTTATTTTTACTTGAAGAACACTGTCAATGTATATATAGAGCTGTGGTGGCGCAGTAGCTAGAATGCAGCATTGCAGGCTAATTCTGCTTCACGGCCAGCAGTTCGATCCTGACCGCTCAAGGTTGACTCAGCCTTCCATCCTTCCGAGGTCGGTAAAATGAGGACCCAGATTGTTGGGGGTGGGTGGGAACAATAGGCTGACTCTGTAAACCACTTAGAAAGGGCTGTAAAGCACCATGAAGAAGGATATACGTCTAAGGGCTATTGGTGCAGGTCTACCCACAAAATGAATGTAATAATTTTGTGCCTTCTGATCTATAATGTGCAGGGTTTCCCCAAGGTCTGAGAAATAGGTTCCTCCAGGGCCAAAACCTTGAGAAAAGCTGGTTCTGAGAAGAGTTACATTTTTTTTATTTCTTAAAATTTTGTTTATGCCTTGTGAGATTGATCTTTCTCCCAAGTATGGGGGGGGGGAGGAATTAAGTCTCTAGCTAGCCCAGGGGTAGGCAACCTTGGCTCTTTTATGACTCGTGGACTTCAACTCCCAGAATTCCTGAGCCAGCCATGCTGAGGGGAAAGGGAGAGGTTTCCAAGCTGAGCCATGCCGGCTCAGGAATTCTGGGAGTTGAAGTCCACCAGTCATAAAGCGGCCTAGGCCAGGGGTAGGCCACCTTGGCTCTTTTATGTCTTGTGGACTTCAACTCCCAGAATTCCTCAGCCAGCCATGCTGAAGGGAAAGGGAGAGGTTTCCAAGCTGAGCCATGCTAGCCCAGGAATTCTGGGAGTTGAAGTCCACGAGCCATGAGGGCACCATAGTTCCTCCATGCTGGCTCAGGAATTCTGGGAGTTGAAGTCCACGAGTCATAAAAGAGCCAAGGTTGCCTACCCCTGAGCTAGCCACACACCGCCAACAGGTGGAGTCGTTGAGATTCCCTTTTTTTGCATTTTGACTTTGGCCAGAAAGAGCAAGAACCTTCTGTTTGGGGGGCTACGGGGAGGAAGCCAGGTGGGGTAGCTGCATGGTCACTAGGTGATACAGCAGGGTGTACCTCCCCACTACTCTAAAGCAGCCCCCCCCAAACTTGGCAACTTTAAGACTTGTGGACTTCAACTCCCAGAATTCCCCAGCCAGCCAGTTGCCAAGTTTGGAGACCCCTGCTCTGAAGCAGGAGGTTGATCAGGATGGAGTGAGTAGAAGAGAGCAGGTGGAGGGGAGGTTGAGACCTGGAGTCTTCCCACTGTTTTGTCTCAAGGATGTTGGGAGTGTCTGCTAGACCAGTGGTTCTTAACCTGGGCGATATTGCCCCCCAGGGGGCGATTTCATTTTTCAGGGGAGCCATGGAACGAAAAGGGGTGATGTGGGGGCGAAGGAATGAAAAAGGGGGCGATATGGGGGCGATGGAGTGAGAAGTTTTGGGGACACTTTTGAGACTTTTTCGTACAGTGAATGGCTGTATATCTGTCGTACAAAAACATCAGATCGCTCGCTATTAGTGGATCGAATTGTGTTTTCAAATGTTCCTCCGGCTAGCTTCAGTACAGAACGCCGTACATCTGTAAATACGCATCGCTTATCTTCTTGCGTGTTGTGCAGCAGCCTCTACCCATACAGTGGTGCATCATTAGCCAGAATATGGGAGATATGGGGAAAAGACTGGAAATAAATTATTTGCATGGATATGTCCTGATGGACAATTTTAAAGAAAACAAAACAAGGGTTTGCATAAATTGAAGAATTATTTCCCATGTTGTGATTGAGAGGTTATGTTGGGGGAGGGGGGCGATGACAACTTCCTCATTGGCTCAAGGGGGCGATTCGTTCAAAAAGGTTAAGAACCACTGGTCTAGACCCCTCTGGGAATCTCAACTCTTGGCCCCTCCTGAGAAGGAAGGCTGAGGGTTCAATCCGATGGTCTGGTACTGCAAGCCCTTCTTCTGAAGGAGGGGCTGGGGGGGGGGGCGGCAGTCTTGACTACAGACGTGGGTTTCTTCCAGGGTTCCTGCCAGCAGCTCCCCCACCTCGTCTTCCCAGAGTTCCGGCTCTTCTGGCACGACGACGTCCGTTTTCAACACACCTGTGCTGGCCAGGTTTAGAGGCAACAAGGAGGACGAGGCAGACAAAGGAAGCCCGGGCCCTGATACAGACTCTGCAAGGGCCTAAATGCCTTTTCACGTATGGGAAGATGCTACGCAAATAAAAAGTTTGGTGCACGCTCCTCAAGGCAGGTCTGGGTATAGCTCTCTGTCTCTCCCTCCCTCCCTCTCTCTGTCTCTTTGTCTCTCTGTCTGTCTGTGTCTGTCTGTCTGTCTCTCTCTCTCTCTCTCTCCCCCTCCCTCCCTCTCTCTCTCTCTGTCTCTCTCTCTCTGTGTGGTTGCTGCTCAACTAATCTCAGTGCAGCAGAAAGTAAACAGAATGTCTAATTTTTTGAGTGAAAGGGAGATGGCTAAGCACATTGAAGTGTCCTTCCTTCCTTCCTTCCTTCCTTTCCTTCCTTCCTTCCTTCCCTCTCTCCCATTGTCCTTCTTCCCTGATTCCTTCCTTCCTTCCTTCCTTCCTTCCTTCCTTCCTTCCTTCCTTCCTTCCTTCCTTCCTTCCTTCCTTCCTTCCTTCCCTCTCTCCCATTGTCCTTCTTCCCTGATTCCTTCCTTCCTTCCTTCCCTCTCTCCCATTGTCCTTCTTCCCTCATTCCTTCCTTCCTTCCCTTCCTTCCCTCCCATTGTCCTTCCTTCCTTCCTTCCTCCCTTCCCTCCCTCCCATTGTTCTTCCTTTTCTGATTCCTTCCTTCCTTCCTTCCCTTCCTTCCCTCCCTCCCATTGTCCTTCCTTCCTTCCTTCCTCCCTTCCTTCCTTCCTCCCTCCCTCCCTCCCCCTTCCTTCCTTCCTTCTTCCTTCCTTCCTTCCTTCCTTCCTTCCTTCCTTCCTTCCTTTCCTTCCTTCCTTCCTTCCTTCCTTCCTTCCTTCCTTCCTTCCTTCCTTCCTTCCTTCCTTCCTTCCTTCCTTCCCACTTGCCCCCATATCCCCCATCCCCCCAGAGGCTGTCAAGGTCAGTTAAAAGGTTCGTGTGAAATGAGACTCCGTTGTGGGAGGGGCTTTCAGACTGTTTTAATTGCAAACTTCGCTCCAAAACGTTCCTGAAATTTTGCAGTTTTACGAAAAATGTACTTAAGTGGAGAAAGACTTTGTTTCTGTGACTGTCGGGGCCAAAGATCAACCTCGGCCCTTGCTGAGTGACTTAGAGCAGAGTTCCCCAACCTTTTTGGCTTTGTGGATACAGGGGAAGGGGGGGGAAGAGGGGATGCTTCTGTGCCAGCAGGGGGCAATTACGTGCATGCACACACAGCTCCCTTTGCGCCAGCTGCAGACCCGTGCACTCGCCCACTGCTTGCACAAGTGAGGACTCCAGAGCCCTGTTCCCAACACTAGTGGACTGCAGCCCTGGGGGGGGGGTTGGGGACCCCTGAGTTAAGAGCCTCAATCAGTCATTCTGGGCCACAAATCTAGCGATTTATGGTTACAGTGATTACGACCAGGATAGAAGAGGCTTCTGTTGGTTTTGTCGTAAAAAATAAAATTTGTGCAGCTCAGGAAAGCATATCCAATAGGATCTTTGAGTTTACTGAACATTACAAGAAACAGTTCAATTTTCCGGGCTTCTCCAGCACAGTCTTCCCATAATTTGCGTGCGTGAGATGGGTTTGCATCCCTCTGTGTTCAAAAGGCTCCGTTGCAGTTTGATATGTTGGGTGAATCCAGCTTTGGCATTACATGGGTGCCAGTGCACCGATCTGTTTGCATTGGGGAGGGACCCAGGAAATACGGCATGAGGCTTTATATAAATAATGATACCCGTGATAGATTTGTTGTAGGCCAGGGGTTCTCAACCTGTGGGTCGGGACCCCATTTGGGGTCGAGCGACCATTTCACGGGGGTCGCCAAACAACGCAGTCCGCCATTTTTCCCCCCCCTTTTCCTTAGCTGGGCTACTCCCTTTTATTCTATTGGCTTTTGAAAGCCAATAGAATAGACTCTCTTGAATAGAGTCTAATTCTATTGGCTGTCAAAAGCCAATAGGAATTGTCCAGGCTGTCTCTGCCCTGCTGAGCCCGCCAAAAGTCCCATTCTGCAAAGGGTGTTGCACCAGTTGAGTAGTCCTCGACTTACGACCGGTTGAGTAGTCCCCGACTTACGACCAGTTGAGGGTTGCGGCATTAAAAAGGTTGAGAATCACTGTTGTAGGGGTTAAAAGCACCAGTAGTTTTGTTTCTTTCTCCTGTTTAGTCAAGGTTACGAGCGGGATGTTTGCAGCATGTCCACTATGGCGTGACGTCCTTTACTAAAATGCTTCCTTTACTACATATGTACTACGGGTCCCGCTTCTTATCTTTGCCAGGAGCGCAGTTTGTATATTCAGTAAGTATTTGGCTGCAGGTTCCCTTACAGGGCTTGAAAAATCGGGCACCCGAGAAGCGTTGGATTTGCTGTGGTGTTTTTACACAATGCTACGTTTGGAGAACAGGTCAGGATTCCAACTTCTGTGCCAGAATAAAGGTGAGCTGAGGAAAGAAGGGGGGAGGCACCATTTTGTCCATTACTATCCTTCCTACAGGGTGGGGGCTTTCGTTTCGTTTCCCCTTGCATTTGCGGTAAATGCAAGCGGTCCCGATCTTTGGGAGACACGGAGGGCGGTGCTGGGTGATCCTTTGAACCGGGAGTTTTAGAGGATGTTCTCCAGCCTGTAGTTGTAGCCGATGGCTTGATCCACCAGGTTTGGCAGCAGCGCTTGGCAGACCAGGGTGGGCTTCAGGGCCCAATAAGGATAGAAGACCTCGCGGTAACGCAACACTCCGCCCCTCACAATCTGCTGGGCACACTCTTCTTTGGGACTCGGCCTCTGGGTGATTTTGTTGCCCACAGACTTCACGGCCGTTTCTACGGAAAAGAGCCCAAAAAATGGGTGGTCGGCCCAAGAGGAGGGCGCTGGGTTTGGGCAAGCGGACGTTTCGATGGGTCACTCACCGGTGTCAATGTAGCTCAGCACGGCCACAGTGATGGGCAGCTCTATCTTCCGCAGGCGCAACTCGGTGCGCAGCGAGGTGAAGAATCCTTCCACGGCAAACTTGGCTGCTGCGTAGGGGACGCTGAAAGGACTCTGAAGACGTCCTAGGAAGAGGATGGAGAGGTTGGCATGGAAGGAGGAACCATTTAGCCCCAAAGCTTGTTCCCCCTCCTCCTCCTCCTCCTCTTCCTCCTCCTCCTCCACAAACCCCATGTCCTTCTAGCTCTGATGATGTACCTAGTTAGGGCAATGAAATGTCTGCAAGAAAACAAGCAACTCAGAGAGCACCAAGGACCCCACAGTCCTCCTCCTCTCAATCTTTCCCCCAATGGTACTCTCTTCCACGTCCATTTTAATATAGGTCAGTGATGGTGAACCTATGGCACACATGCCAGAGGCGGCACTCAGAGCCCTCTCTGTGGGCACGCGTGTCGTGCCCCGGAGATGGTGAGGGACTGGCCCCTGCCACTCTGCCCCTGCCCACCCAGTCTGCCATGACCACTGCAGCCACACCCACCCGGCACTCGGTGATAAATCAGTGGGTTTTTGTTTGCAGTTTGGGCACTGGGTTTCTAAAAGGTTCGCCATCACTGATCTAGGTAGTCCTTCACACAGGACCACAAGGGAGCCTGCCCATCAGGCTCGATTTTGCAACCTTTTTCGCAGCAGTCATTAAGCAAAACTCTGCAGTCCTTTAGGGCAGTGTTTCCCAAACTTGACCATTTTAAGGCATGTGGACTTCAACTCCCAGAATTCCACAGCCAGCAATGGAATTGTGGAATTCTGGGAGTTGAAGTCCACATGCCTTAAAATGGTCAAGTTTGGGAAACGCTGCTTTAGGGAACCGATGGTTAGCGATGGGCCTGGTTTTGCAGGAAATCAGAAGTGCCAATTTTGGGCAAGGTCTTGATTGAGAAGCGATGGTTGCTTGGATTTCTGTGGAGCTCTGACTTCGAGAGCTGAAGAAGCTTCTCCAAAGAAAAAGAAGAAAGTCCGCTTGCCGCGTGAAAAAGCCTCTTTGGGATATGGAGTGGATGAGATCTTCAGGAAGAAAGAGACCACACATTTGGAGAACAATAGACAACGGATGAAAGGGGGTATGGAAGGAACACAAGGAATGATGGGGTGCAAGAAGAGAAAGGGATGAGGAATTGGAGCGGCTGGTGCTGGGGTGACACTAGGAAGCAAATTATCTGTCGTCAGACTGAGAACTGGTAGGACCACGTGCAGGAGATCCGTCAGCACGAAGGAATGCCCCCACTGCGGGATCCATCTGCGTGCCAGCCTATGAGGATTGCGGTGCCTACCACTCATGGAGGAGACGACCACGAGGTTCCCTTTAGATGCCAGCAATAGGTCCATGGCAGAGATGGTTAACTGGACGTAGCTGAAGAAGTTCAGATTCATCGACGTGATCACCGACTCCATTGATCCTTTGAATGGACCAAACGAGGTTCCGCCAACGTGGTTCAGAACCAGCTGGTCAAGACCTCCTGGGGGAGAGAAGGACAGGGGGGCATTTAGTGCCCAAGCACACAAAAGGCAAAGCACAAAAAGCAAACTGATGTTTTTCTAGTGCTGGTTTGCTACCCCCCCCCCTTGGAGGGTGTCTTCCAGCACGGAGCCCCGGGCAGGGCAGCTGGGCACTCAGAGGGGCTGATCACAGGTCAGCAGGAGCTCCAGCCTGGAGGAAGCCTACTACAGGCAAAGCTTGGTCAGCCAGGCCAGCACAGGGCAAGGCATTGAGATATCTTGGGTTTTAAAGCCTCTGTAGGGCCAGGAGCCAAAATGGTTGATCTTCTAGAACAGTGGTTCTCAACCTGTGGGTCAGGACCCCATTTGGGGTCGAACGACCATTTCACGGGGGTCGCCAAACAAGGCTGTCCGCCATTTTTTCCCCCTTTGGCCACGCCCCTGGCACCCGGTGATGTATAAGTGGTTGGGGGTCACCACAACATGGGGAACTGTATTATGGGGTCACCATGTTGACCCCCCCATTGATGCCCATCCTTGCTTTTCCTACTCACTCTATTGTGTTATTAAATACAGCCATTTGGAATGCAAGGAGCCCCGATGGCCAAGTGGTCAGAATGCAGCATTGTAGGCAAACTCTGCCCACTGCCAGGAGTTCGATCCTGACCGGCTCAAGGTTGACTCAGCCTTCCATCCTTCCGAAATCGGTAAAATGAGGACCCAGATTATTGGGGGCAATATGCAAATAATGCTGACACTGAGTGCTGTAAAGGGCTATGAGGTGGTATATAGGGAAGCCCTGTTGCTATTGCTATTGAGCAGGGGGTTGGACTAGAAGACCTCCAAGGTCCGTTCCAACTCGTCTGTTATTCTATTATTCACATTGCCCAATATCGGTGGCCAACTCTGGATTCCAAGGGCCACCTGTGGTGCAGAGCACATGAAGCCCTTCTGACAAACACTTGAGACCAAACACGTCTGTGTGCACGGCCCCGAAGCCCAGAAAAAGTGTCCCCAACAGGAGCACCACAAACATTTGAATTGCTCGCTGCCTTTCAAAGACGTTGCCCCTTTGCTGCATGGATTCTCTCATTCTGGAGGAGTCATGGAAATAGGAATTCTCTGGGCGCTCTTCTCCATGCAGGAAAGGAGGGTGCAGCAAACTGGGGATGGGGCAAAGGAGGACTTCTATAGAGAGGAATGGATGATGCTGGGAAGGACAGAGAGAGCCCTAAGTTCACTGGGTGGCTGGGATAGGTCAGGGAAGCTGAATACAGCCTTACACACAGAGCATCCAATTCCTCAATCTCTCTCCCCCCCCCACCGCAGGAGACACAAGGGTTGGTCCTGGATGAATGGAAAATGTCATTTTTACCCAACTGGGCTTTAGTTTCTTCAACAACCATCTGGGCAGCAGTCAGATTGCTCATGTCCGCAACCACATAGTGGGCAGAACTGGCACCCAGCTTCTGGCATTTCTGCACCACCTGGAGGGAAAAAAAAGAGGGCAAAGGAATGAAAAGGACTCGCAAAACCCAAGGTGTCCACAGTATGTGGTCAAAAAAGTTCTCCAAACACAAGAAGCAACAGATGGAAACTAATCAAGGAAAGAACCAATCTAGAACTAAGGAGAAATTTCCTGACAGTGAGAACAATTAACCAGTGGAACTGAAGAAGTTGTGAATGCTCCAACACTGGACATTTTTAAGAAAAGATTGGGAGCCATTTGTCTGAAATGGTATAGGGTTTCCTGCTTGAGCAGTGGGCTGGACTAGAAGACCTCCAAGGTCCCTTCCAACCTATTCTATTCTATTCTATTCTATTCTATTCTATTCTATTCTAAATTCCATTCTGTTCTGTTCTATATTTTCTCTATTCTATTCTATTCTATTCTATTCTATTCTATTCTATTCTATTCTACTCTACTCTATTCTACAATGTCCTATTCTATTCCTATTCTATTCTACAATGTTTATTCTATTCTATTCTATTTCTTTCTGAATTCCTATTCTATTCTATTCTATTCTATTCTATTCTATTCTATTCTATTCTATTCTATTCTATTCTATTCTAAATTCCATTCTGTTATGTTCTATATTTTCTCTATTCTATTCTATTCTATTCTATTCTATTCTATTCTATTCTACTCTATTCTACAATGTCCTATTCTATTCCTATTCTATTCTACAATGTTTATTCTATTCTATTCTATTTCTTTCTGAATTTCTATTCTATTCTATTCTATTCTATTCTATTCTATTCTATTCTATTCTATTCTATTCTATTCTATTCTATTCTATTCTATTCTATTCTATTCCATTCCATTCCATTCTACTCCAATCAAGATGGTAGCCATGACACCACAGTTGAATCTCTGCCAATCTTAATATTAGGATGAAACCAGAACCATTTGATGGACAATGAATTAGAAATGTCGGAAATTAATATGGCATATTGTATATGCTAACTGCGCCAAGATTATTGCATGCACAAAGATGGAAAATAATGAAATAAGGTAGGAAATAGATTTGTAATATTGATAAGAAAGCTTGAGGGAAAAATGAAACTGACTAGTTTGATCATGGAAAAAAGGAAGGCTTTTTTTTTTTTTTTTGAAAGCCTGGAAACCTTAACGTGGACTGTTTGTTGAAAGACAAAGACTAAATTGATGATTTATGGACTGGGGATTAAAAAGGGTTAAATAGGAAAGTGAGAGAATTTAAATGGCAACTAACTACACGATAAAAAGGGCGGAACTCATAATCCTATGTTTCCTTTTTAATTTAATTTCCTATTTTTTTCTCCTGTACGTTTTCTTTTTCAATCTTTTCATTTCGCATACTTTTATCGCGTTGAAAACTTCTAATAAAAATCTCTCGCCAGTTTCAAACATGGGCAGGGGGCTCCCCCTTTTATTCCCACGGTGCTTTGAGGAGCAGCGGGGCTTGGCTTGCGAGGAAGATCCGTGTGCAGGGCTGGCGGCCCTGTTCAGACGACCAGGGTGGGGTGGGGTGGGATGGGTTTCCCGCCGCTTACCTTCTGCAGCTGCTCCTCCCTCCTGGCAGTCAGCATGAGGTGGGCGCCCATCCGGGCAAACTCGTAGGCCATTTGCTCCCCGATGCCCGAACTCGAACCCGTCACCAGCACGCGCTTCCCTCGCACCATCTCTGCGGGCAGAAGGGGAGACGGACGGCCCGTGTTGGCTTCCCCTCCCCGGCCGGAGAAAAGGCTTCTTGCCTAAGGTCTGTAGCTAAGGGAGGAAGTCCGCCTCCCCCCCCCGCCCCGCGTGGACCTGCTGCCTTGAGCAGGGGGTGGACTAGAGGACCTCCGAGGGCCCTTCCAGTCCTATTTTATTTTTTTTTTCTGTTTCCCTGGGTGAATTTTCTCTGTCCCTCCAGCCTTCGCTGCTTCAGACTCTAAGGGGAACTAGTTTTTATTCATTGGTGGTCTAGAAGGGACCGTTCTAGTGGGTGCTGTCCAGAAAGCCCCCCCCCCTTAGCCAGGAAAGGGAATAAACGAGCAAATAAGTAGTTAAAGGAGTGACAGCATTATTCCCCCCCCCCCGTTGGATCCATACTCGATTCCCTGCCCAAAGTCCAGTTGGCTCCCTGCTCCGGGCAAATTCCAAGGTTTTGCTTCCAAGAAACCCCCCCCCACTCCCCATTCCCTTCGCTCCACCTCCTTCATCGTGGATACAGGTCGTTGGGGACCTGCCAGCAGTCTGCTGACCCCTTGCCAGCCCCCATGGAAGTGAGGCAGGACAGTCACCTCCGATGCTCCCGCCAGGTGTGGATTTGCGGGAGAAGTGGAGAGCGCAGTTTGGCATAGAGACCCCCCCCCCAAGGAGAACAAACAGCCCTCCACATAGTGGAGGGGGGTTCCTCAGTTGCCTCAAGTGCCAATAGGAGCAGGGCAGCCTCCCCCCTTTAACCTCATCACTTGTGGAGCAAGCTGATGGCAGAGTGGATGGAAACTGGGATGTGTGTGTGTGTGTCTTTTCATGTTTCTTTGCAGAAAGCTGATTGTCTGGTTCTCCCCACTTGGTTATTCCTTCTTTCCTTGTAAGGTTAATTGCATGTCTCCTCAGTCCCAAATTATATTCTCCCTCCCCCCCACCCACCCTGTTTCTCTCCCCAGATTCTGAGCAGGCAACTTTAAGATACATGGACTTCAGCCCCCCCAGAATTCCCCAGCACCTATTTCTGCAATTCGCTCCTCCGTGGGCCGGAGTTTCTCAACTTTAGTGACTTTTTAAGATGTTGGACTTCAACTCCCAGCATGCCCTTGCCCAGTGCATTGCCTACCTCAGCCTGGGTTTTTCTACAGTCTTCTAGCTGCCATCTGAATACCAAATGGCATATTAGTGGCCGCCATCTACGTTTATGTCTCAGGGATGCTCAGCTTCCCACCGTAAGAATTGCAGAACTGCAAAGGTCCCCTGCAACCACCTTGAGCCACTTCAAATCCGAGCTGCTGTTTCGGGGTGGGTGGATGGAGGCTCACCCAGGTGCCCTGGGGCTGCGCAGAGGTCAGCTTCTGCTCAGCCTCATCTCCCAAAGCAGCTCCCTTCCTCTGATGTGACCTGCCAGGCATCTAGGAAAGCTGTGGGATGAAAACCAGCTGCCCAGTCTTGGGCAACAGATCCCATCAGTGAAGGACACCACAACCTGCTGCGGGATTCCTGCTCCCACAGCCGGGTCCGTGTGAGCAGAGAATCCAGCGTGTGGCCCCTTTTGCTACGGGGGGGGGGCTCAGATGGAGCTGAAACGCAAAGCTGATGCTTCAAGGTCTGTTGTCAGCCCCTTTCTGCTTCCTGAACCCTCCTTCCCCAATCTGAAAGCAGATTTTCTGACATGCCGTTTCCCCTGGAGGGGTCTGAATGACAGGCGGCACCATCATACGGTGCATCTCATCTCCTGTCATTGGTGTTCAGGCAATGGGCTTAACTATCCACTTTCCTGTGCTCCGCTGGATTCTGCGTGTGTTGGGCGACCTCAACCCATTTCTTTAGTGTTCTCAGCACATTGTGAGAACACCAGGAATGGACTGCCCCCCTGCTGAGACTAAGACCAGCCGACCACCTTCACACCTGGCTTGCGAGAGTTTCACCAACTGTTTTCCCCTCCAGGGAAACCCATTCTTTCCTGTTAAATGGAAAAAGAATAATAAAAACAGAAAAAGCAGGACAGCAATGGCCTAGGATCCCCCTGCGGGATCTGCCCCTCCTTACCTGCAGAGAAAGTTTCTTGCGGGTAGAAATAGTAGACGCCGAGCCCGATCAGGACAGGAACGAGGATCTTGAAGAGCGCCATGATCAGCTTCTGAGCTGGTCATTAAGCTGCACAGGCCTTTTCTTTGCAGGCTCATCACAAGGTTCAGAAATGCAGACTTTCCAGCTCTGATGAAACACACCGAGTGGCACCCAATCAGGGCTCGGCCCAGGTGGGACGGTGCAGGCGACGCATCATCTGCTGACTCAGGTTTCAGGAGAGATTGACAGCCATCCAAAATAAATATTACGGCGGTTTCAAAAGTTGCCAGGTGAGGCTTTGGGCCAAGAGATTTTTGGCCAGGGATTCACATTCCTGCATGTGTAGAAAGCCTGAGCACCACAGAAATCCCGACAACAGCAATTTCATATGTGCCCTCACTGGTTCTTCGGCCAGAAAGGAAAATTTCTGGGCCTGGATCAGTGGGCAAAATTTATGGCTTTGCTTTGCTATAGGGCAGGGGTAGGCAACCCAAAACACTCAAAGAGCCACTTGGACCGGTTTCCCACCAAAAACAAAAAACCGGGAACTGCAAAACCCTTTTGATATCTAAAATGAAGATAACACTGCATATATCCTTTTTTTACCTTTATTATAGGTGTGTGTGTGTGTGTGTGTTTGTGTATGTGTGTGTGTATGTGTATGTGTGTGTGTGTGTGTGTGTATGTGTATGTGTATGTATATGTATATGTATATGTATATGTATATGTATATATACACATTAAAAATAAAAGTAAAAATATCACTCTTGGGAATATCCATACTATTGAAACAATGATCACCAAGAGAATGCTTTAAGAGAATAAAATTACATACACACACAGGTAAAAAAAGGATATATGCAGTGTTATCTTCATTTTAGATGTCAAAAGGGTCTCTCTCTCTCCCTCCCTCCCTCTCTATCTGCCCTTGGTCTGCACTCCTCTTCCCCCACTCTCTTTCTTTCTCTCTCTCTTTCCTCCCTCCCTCTCTCTCCCTCCCTCTCTCTCTTTCTCTCCCTCTCTTTCTCCCCCCCCCTATCTGCTGCTCACCTGGCAAGCTTCAAGCTGTTCTCCAACAAGCTCAGGAGTAAGCAACCTCGGCTCTTTTATGACTCATGGACTTCAACTCCCAGAATTCTTGAGTCAGCCTAGCTGGGCTAGCTAGCTCTCTCCTGCCCTTCCTGCTTCCTGCAGAGATGCAGCAAAGGGAGGAGTTCCAACCAGGAAGCTTTTCAGCTCCTCAGAGAACACTGTGAGTGCACTCTTTTTCACACACACACACACACACACACACACACACACACACACACACACAGAGAGAGAGAGAGAGAGAGAGAGAGAGAGAGAAGCAGGGAAGCGCAATTGCCTCTCTCTCTCTGTCTCTCTCTCTCTCTGCAAAGGCAGAGGAGGCTGGGAGCCACAGGGGGAGGCTCAAAGAGCCGCATGCAGCTCCGGAGCCGCAGGTTGCCGACCTGTGCTATAGGGGGTACCTTGCTCAATAGTAGTAATTGTGAGAGGGATCTCGGAGTCCTAGTGGACTTAAATTACTTAAATAAGGGCCAGCCGTGTGTTGCAGCTGCCAAAAAGGCCAACACAGTGCTAGGCTGCATTAACAGAGGGATAGAATCAAGATCACGTGAAGTATTAATGCCACTCTACAATGCCTTGGTAAAGCCACACTTGGAATCCTGCATCCAGTTTTGGTCACCGCAATGTAAAAAAGATGTTGAGACTCTAGAAAGAGCGCAGAGAAGAGCAACAAAGATGATCAGGGGACTGGAGGCTAGTTTAATGAAAAAAAGAACTAGCAGGGACATGATAGCAATGTTCCAATATCTCAGGGGCTGCCCCAAAGAAGAGGGAGTCAAGCTATTCTCCAAAGCACCTGAGGGCAGGACAAGAAGCAATGGATGGAAACTAATCAAGGAGAGAAGCTAATCAAGAAAAACTAAAGTCTGCACTCCTCCTGTTCCACAATTGTGCACAAATCCTTTCTTTGCCCTCTTTTCCTCTGTGTATCCTGCTTGTGTATGTCCAAGGGAGGGGGGGGGAGAGAGAGGGAAATTAGATCAAAGGTCCTGAAATAGTCCAGCAGGGATTTCTTCATCTTGTGCTACTATATATTTGAATTACTTAAAAGAGGAAAGTCACTTTGTGTGTTCAATTGCTTTTGAAATCAACAAATCTATGGACTGTAATAGTAGAGCTTATCGTATCATATTCCCATGTAGCTGAGTCTTGTGACTTTTCTGTGCTTCTGAGGAAGAAAGACAAGATTTCTCTGAAACAGGTGCCTTTATTCAGCCCCCCCCCCAAACAACAACAACAACAGGAGAGCTGATGTGCAGGAGAGGCACAGTTCAATATCATGGACACCTAAAGGTTGCAAAAAGCCCTTTGAGTGGTTTGTTTGAGAGGGCTAACAGGCCCACTGTCAGAACCCATTCCTATTTCATTTCTACCTATCCCCTCTGACCTAAACACAAATCTCATTTTTCCCTGGGTTCTGCCATACTCCCAAGGGGTTATTGCTTTCCCTTACCCTATTTACTGCAATGTAACCTTTTGCTTCCTGCACTGTATCTCTCTCTGAACTTTCTTCTCCCTAACCTGTCAGCTAGGAAAAAAAGGGGAGAAAGAAATACAACCTCCGGAGCCTGGCTTATCTCTCCATTCACAAAAGAAGGTGTGAAGAGCTGCTTGAACATCATGCTACGACCAGAGCCGGACTGATTGGCCGGTTTGAACCATCTGGATGAACTGTGGGGTGGGGTTTGCTTGGGGACACTTTAAAGCAGGCATGTCAAACACAAGGCCCGGGGGCCAGATGCGGCCCGCAAAGTGGTTTCATGTGGCCCGCGAAGCCATCCTGGAAACAGTGAGGGAACGGCCCCTTCCACCTTGGCCCCACTCCCTGGATGCATGGACCATTGACGCGAATGATGTAGAGCTGGCCACACACACCCAGTAGGCCACACCCACTCTGTCCATGCCCACCCAGTAGGCTGCACCCACCCTGGCCACACCCATCCGGCCCCCTGAGAGCAACCGCAATGCTGATGCGGCCCTCAATGAAGCTGAGTTTGACACCCCTGGTTTAAAGTATTGATCTGCAAAGGAATCCTTCAGATGCTGTCAATTATGCCTGCTATCAACTACTTTAAACAAAAGTTCCTGTTGGAGGAAACCATCTGCAAGAGTTCTGCTTTCTTAAGATGTGGGATTGAACTGGGTCCTTACAATCACTTGAGCATATATTTACAGCACTAAAAAGGAACAATACCGGCCAGTTGAATCTATGATTTGCTATTGAACCGTGGGTGGAGAGTAGACACTGCCTGCTGGCCAGCTTTAATAGCCGAACTGAGGCAAGACAAAATCCAGATTTTTCCTGTTCCCTTTGGCTCAGTCTTGCTTGGATTGCCACAAAATGGATTTCACAAACTGCTGGTTGGTTGGGAGAGGTCAAAGCTCTCTGAGTGAGATTTTTTTTTTTTTAATCTCCACTGGCTGTACGTCTTGATAGTAAGATGATGAGTCATGATAACAGCTGGAACCCAAAGGATGGAAAAACAGTTTTGAGGAAAGAGGAAAGCGAGAGGGTTTCCATGGAGAAACTCTTCTAGATAGAAGATGATACCTCTTGGCATTTTGGCCAATGAAATGGCTTTCTGAACAGACAACACATTGCAGGTGAGAACCTGGTGGCATCAGAGAAGACAGGTAGTCATCAAAAGCCAACACCTTATGAGGTCAATGGTGGGGATAGTTATGTTGTATGAACCTCCTGACTCAATCTTGGGGCAAAAGAGAAGCAATTTGAACTTAAAACGGGGCAATTGAGAGTGAAACCACCCTAACCCAACAGCCTTTTAAAATTTAAACCCAGTCAACGATGGGTTACTGCTTGAGATCCACCTAGCAATAGCAATAGCATTTAGAACAGTGGTTCTCAACCTTTTTAATGCTGCGACCCCCAACCGGTTGTAAGTCGAGGACTACTCAACTCTCACAGCACCGTTTGCAGAATGGGACTTTTGGCGGGCTCAGCAGGGCAGAGACAGCCTGGACAATTCCTACTGGCTTTTGAAAGCCAATAGAATTAGACTCTATTCAAGAGAGTCTATTCTATTGGCTTTCCAAAGCCAATAGAATAAAAGGGAGTAGCACAGCTAAGGAAAAGGGGGAAAAAATGGCGGACTGCGTTGTTTGGCCACCCCTGTGAAATGGTCGTTCAACCCGAAATGGGGTCCCGACCCACAGGTTGAGAACCACTGATTTAGACTTATATACCGCTTCACAGTCTGCTTTCCAGCCCTCCCAAAGCGGTTTACAGAGTCAGTATTTTTGTCCCCAACAATCTGGGTTCTCATTTTACCGACCTCGGTAGGATGGAAAGCTGAGTCAACCTTGAGCCAGTCAGAACTGAACTGCCAAACTGCTGGCAGTTGGCAGTCAACAGAATTAGCCTGCAATACTGCATTCTATTTTTTTAAAAATTTTTTAATTATTTTTCACCATATACCATACACCAAAACAAACTTAAAATACATAAACATAAAATCTTTTCTTTTAACAGAACAGTACTCTACATTTTAAGCATTCTTTACATCTTATTTACATTTTATGTACATCAATAATTATGTCTTTTTCTTTCTCTGTTCTAGCCAATTATAACATTTATTCCAAATTTCATGAAATTCTGTCGCCTCCTTGTCTTTTAATTCTAACGTAAGTTTGTTCATTTCTGCGCACTCCAAGATTTTGTACATAATCATATCATTTGTGGGAATATTTTCACTCTTCCAACATTGAGCATATGCTATACAGTCAGTCTGTAGTCAGTCTGTGTATAATGATGTGTTGGAGTTGCAGTCAGTATGTGTATAATGATGTGTTGGAGTTGTTTTTCCATCTTTAAATTTATTATGCCTAAAAGAAATAATTCTGGTTTGAAATCCATTTGTATCTCAGTTATCTCCTATATCCAATCTCTTATTTGTTCCCAATATTTGTTTGCTTTGGGGTACAGCCACCACATGTGATAAAATGTTCCTTCTCTGATTTTACATTTCCAACACTTCGGGTCTATGTTTTTATACATTTTAGCCAATCTCGCCGGTGTTAAATGCCATCTGTAAATCATTTTATATTGATTCTCTCTGTATGCAGTTGATAGTGTCAATTTGCAATTTATGTTCCATAATCTTTCCCATTCCTCTAAATTTATATTTCGCCCCACATTTCGTGCCCACGCTATCATTGGCCCCTTTACTATTTCTTCCTCTAACTCTATCTCTAATAAGTATTTATAAATTTTTGATAATAGTTTTCCTTCCTTTCTTATTAGAATTTTATCAAGTTGGTGTGGGGTCTGACTAATTCCATGTTCTTGCCTATCCCTATTATATCTAGATTGAATTTGTAAATATGGCCACCAATCTATGGGTATTCTTTGTTCCTCCAACTCTTCTCTTAACTTGAGATTTCCTCGGTTATCCAGTAATTCTTTATACCTAATCATCTTTTTTTTTCTCTAATGTATTGGAATGAATCACTGCCTCCATCGGCAAGAACCAATTTGGAATTTTCCCATAGTGTCTTTTTTTTTATTTTTTCCCATATCCCGATCAATGCTCCTCTTATCTGATGTTGCTGGAAATATGTTGATGTTTTCTTCTGTTTCCCCCATAGAAATGCATGCCAACCCGCTTGTAGATCATGTCCTTCAATCATTAATATCCTTTCATTATCCAAGTTTATCCAGTCTTTAATCCATAACAATCCTGCCACATAATAATAGATTTCCCATTTAGGGAGTCCAAGACCACCTCTACTCTTACTGTCTTGTAATGTTTTAGTATTTATCCTAGCTTTTTTGCCCGCCCAAATAAATTTATTTATTATTTTATCCAATTCTTTAAAAAAGGTTTTCTCTAATTTTATTGGAATTGTTTGAAAGAAATACAATAATCTTGGTAGAATATTCATTTTAGTCAATGCGATTCTGCCTAATAATGATAATTGGAGATTCCCCCAAGTCTCAAGATCTTGTTTCATTTTTAATATCAATTTTGTATAATTGTCTTCTTTTATTGAGGAACACCTTGAGGTTATCCAAATTCCTAAATATTTAATCTTTTTCGCTACTTGTAATCCCAAATTCTCTTCCAATTTCCTTTTTTGTTTATCGGTTAAATTTTTTGCTAACATTTTAGTCTTTTCTCTGTTAATTTTGAATCCTGCCACCATTCCAAATTTTTCTATTTCACCCATAAGAATATTTCCTCTCTCTATAGGTTCCTCAATAAAGAAAACCAGGTCATCAGCGAATGCCTGTAACTTATATTCCTCTGCTTTGACCTGTACCCTTTTTATTTCTTTATTTGCTCTAATTTGAACTAATAATACTTCAAGCGTCAAAATAAAAAGTAAAGATGAAATTGGGCATCCGTCTTACCCCTTTGTTTATTTCAAAACTTTTTGTATTCTCTCCATTGATTATCACACTAGCTCTCTGTGTTCTATATATTGCCTTTATTATGTTACTAAATTTCTTACCAAATTTCATATCTTCAATCTGTTGGAACATAAATTGCCAATTGAGGCTATCAAATGCTTTCTGCGCGTCTAAAAAAATCAAAGCTGCCTGTTTTCCTAAATGTATTTCGTAATACTCTAGGACATTTAACACCGTTCTAATATTGTTTCCGATTTGTCTTTGGGGTAAAAAACCATTTTGATCTGGATGTATTATATTTTGTAAAATTAACTTTAATCTTTCAGCCGTTATATTAGTAAAAATTTTGTAATCTGTATTTAGCAGCGAGATTGGCCTATAGTTTTTAATCTGTTTGGGATAAGAGATACGATGGCATCTATCCAGGAGTCTGGTAGATTAGATTTCTCCAACACATCATTATACACCTCTAGTAATATCTTTTCAAAATCTTCGTGGAAGGTTTTATATAGCTCCCCCGGAAGGCCATCCGGTCCCGGGGTCTTATTATTTTTTTGTTTTTGCACCGCCTTTTTTAATTCCATAGCTGTTATTTTCCCATTCAGTATGTCTCTTTGTCCTTCTTTTAATTCTGGCAGACCATTCACTTTCAAATATTGTTTAATCTTTTCCCCGTCTATTTCATCTTTTTTATAGAATGACTCAAAGTAGGTTTGAATTATTTCTTTCTTTTTGTCCATTTTATATTGTAACTCTCCATTTCTATCATAAAGTTCCTGAATTATTTTTCCCTCTTTCTCTTTTTTTTAATTTGTAAGAGACCCATCTCCCAGGTTTATTGGCATGTTCAAAAAAAATTTGTTTCGCCAATTTCAATTCTTTAACTCTTTCTTCTTGCTCCATCACATTTAATTTATGTTTGGCTAATGCCATTCCCACTTTAATCGATTCATCCTGGGGCTCTTTTTCTAGTTTGGATTCAATAAGGGCGGGTTTCCAAATGGCTGGTAGGAGGTATCATCTCGTTTATTCATGCTGTGTGGGCATTTTTCTATATATATATAGGTCAGTCCCTGTAATGAATTCAGCTTTGTTCTAACCTTATTTTTTATTCTCCCCATAACATTCAGTATTGTGCAAACTCATCCCATAAGATTTATACTACAATAGATTAATCCAACTGAGAACAGGAATTAATTTAATAATCAGATTAAAGACGTTGTATGAAGGGAGTCATTATGATGTAAATCAAGAAGTAACAACCTTTGAGGATTGAGGAATGACATATAGGTGGATCACTGGAACATCTGACTTGCTTCTTATCTTGCAGATCATTTTAGCTGCCAAACAAGCTAGGTCCCAGGTTGCATTAAACAGAGAGACAGTTTCAAGGTCCCAGTGTTAGTACTTTATACCAGGGCTTTTCAACCAGTGGTATGGGTGCCACCTGTGGTACATTGGCACCTGGCAGGTGGTACGTGACCATCCTAGAAAAGTGGTAGTGGGGGAGGGGAATGGGCTGAACCGGTGGCAGGACCGCACAAGCCTGAGTAAGAGATAGCTAGAGCTGCAGGGCTGTCAGGGCTCAGCGGAAGCACCAGGATCAGCGCTAGGCTCCAGCTGGAGCTCAGCACTGATCCTGGTGCTTCTGCTGAGCCCAGAAGAAGCACCAATAGCTGGAGTGTTGCAGCATCTCCAGGGTCTTGTGATTTACATTCAGATGCTTGGCAACTGATTCATATTTATGACGGTCACAGTGTCCCAGGGTCATGGGAAGTGACCAAAACCTGCTGCACCCACCCAGCAGACGGGGGGAATAAAAAACAACCCCCCTACCCCACTCCCGCTGCCAATCCTCAACAGAAATGCTCACAACAATGAACACTTCGGACAGGAGAAAGAGCGCTGCTGGGTGGGCAGTCTGTGGCTTGGGGGGCACTTTTTCAGTGCCATTGTAACTTCGAACAGTCACTAAACAAACTGTTGTAAGTCGAGGACTACCTGTACTTTATCACTTTTTTCTTTTTTCCTTTTTTTCTTTGGTCATCAAGTTTTTGACACTTTGCTAGGCGACTGGTGGTACTCGGATATTGCCGTATCCTAAAAGTGGTAGAATGGGTGAAAAGGTTGAAAAGCCCTGCTTTATACTTCACAGGTGAGACCACACCTGGAATACTGCATCCAATTCTGGTGCAAAAAGGAGTGCAGAGAAGAGCAACAAAAATAAGGGGGCTGGTGGCTAAACCATATGATGGAACGACTGAGGGAACTGGGTATGTCCTATTTAACAATGAGAAAGGGAGGTGGTAGGATGGCAGTCTTCCAGTACTGGACAGATTGTCACATGCAGAAGAGGATTCACTTGTTCTCCAAAGCACCTGAGGGCAGGGCAAGAAGAAACGGGGGAAGATCATTAAAGAGAGATCTGGTCAGTGAGAACAATTAACCAATGGAACAGCTTGCCTCCAGAAGTTGTGGGTGTTTCATCACTCGAGGTTTATTAAGGAGATATTGGACGGCCATTTGTCCAGAATGCCATAGAACTTCCTGTTATGGGCAGTTTGGCCTAGAGGTCTCTTCCAATCCTATAATTCCATGTTCTATGTTTCTACAAAGCTCTTTCTAGCCCGTAGACAACTTTACCAGCTTCAGTCCTTCTGGCTATCTTGGTGGTATTTCACTCAGCCCCCCTGGACCCCAAACCAGCCCCCTTCAACAGCGTCCCCACAATTACCCTTGAATCTTTACTGGTCTGGATGCCCCACCAGCTTGCTCAAAGGAGAATCGCAGGCAGCAGTGCCCCACAGCGGGAATTCAGCTTTAAAGAAGCTAAAGAATCGGCCCGCGTGGGGCCGATGTTAACAATGGCCATCGGCAACTTCCTGTCCCGGGCAGCAAGGGCAAATTTGTAAGCCGAGAAGACCTGCCAGACACAAAAGAAACATTTGTCAGATGAAAAAGTGAAGCATATGGCTGACAAGCTCTCCCTAATGGGGTGCCCTCTGGATGTGCTGACCTAGGACACATAAGACTCTCAGCCCACACAACCTTGGGCCGATTCCTCAGCAACTTTAAGGTGTGTGGACCAGAATCCTCCAGCCATCCATGCTGGCTGAGAGATTCTGGGAGTTGAGGTCCACGCGTCTTAAATTGCTGAGTTTGAGAAACACCGGATTAGATGTTGTTGTTGTTGTTAATTGCGAAGTCGCATCTGACCCATCGCGACCCCATGGACAACGCTCCTCCAGGTCCTCCTGTCCTCCACCATCTTCTGGAGTCCATTTAAATTCACACCTACTGCTTCAGTGACTCCATCCAGCCATCTCATTCTCTGCCGGATTAGATAGCTGAACACTATTAAGCAGGACTTGGAGTACCTGCGAGGATGTGGAACATGGATTAAGAGACCTAAAAGATAGTGGTCTTGGAGCAGAGAGTTGGTCTCTGACAGAAGGCCACCTGAAGAGACTAGAAGCATTTGAAATGTGGATTTACGGGCGGCTGTTACGCATAGGCTGGCTTGACAAGATCAGAAATGAGGAGGGGATCAGCCGCCTGGGAAATCCAAGAGAAATCATCAAAACAATTAAAAAACGAAAGTTAGAATATTTTGGACATGTGATGCACCACCCAGAAAACTATGGCATGCTCCATTTAATCCTCCAGGGAAAGATGGAAGGCAAACGAGGTCCAGGCAGAAGAAGAACATCGTGGCTTCAAAATCTAACGATTGGTTTGGATAAAACTCAGCAGCCCTTTTTCGTGCAGCTGCTGATAAAAACAAGATCGCCAACATGATTGCCAACGTCCGATAATGGATATGGCACAAGAAGAAGATGAGGTAAGCCAGATTTTATTGAGTAACAATAAAAGTTACTCAAGTATGACCATGATATTCCATTAAGGATTAGCCTGAACCCAGTTTCTCATAGCTTCTCATGTCTTGTTCCAGAGAGAGCCACTGGCATAAAAGAAGGCACGGAGTGTCAATCTCCCTTCTCCCCGGGGGGACTCAACTTCTCGGGAGCCATGAAGAGTCAGCAAGGTGTGGGGTGGGGTGGGATTTGAGGCTGTTATAGCAGGAAGGAGGGAATTAGATAGACAGGAACAGTCACCAATGTGCCAGGGTTAGGATGATTAAAGATTGGCACCATTTGCAAAATAAGTAACACCCATTATAATGCTCAGAACCAGGATTATATTCCTGTGACATTGCCTGAGCACCCTCAAAACATCAGATTTTCAAGACAAAGCTCTAGATCAGGGGTAGGCAACCTTGGCTCTTTTATGACTCGTGGACTTCAACTCCCAGAATTCCTGAGCCAGCCTGGCTCAGCTTGAAAACTTCTCCTTTTCCTCTCAGCATGGCTGGCTCAGGAATTCTGGGAGTTGAAGTCCACAAGTCATAAAAGAGCCAAGGTTGCCTACCCCTGATCTAAACTCATCAAATCATGATCTAGATCAGGGGTGGGGAACCTTGGCCTCTTCAGGACTTGTGGACTTCAACTCCCAGAATTCCTGAGCCAGCATGGCTCAGCTTGGAAACCTCTCCCTTTCCCCTCAGCATGGCTGGCTCAGGAATTCTGGGAGTTGAAGTCCACGAGTCATAAAAGAGCCAAGGTTGCCTACCCCTGCTCTAGATCAATGTCTCCATTCACCCCATCATCTAACCAGAGAGTGATACAGTCCAGATTTTGGGGAGACCAACCTGTTTTGGAGGCCCTGAGCAGCTTCCAAGGCCTTAGTGTCTCACAGACCATCCATACCCAGGCTGGAGAAGGCTGAGACAGCCTGCACGGTGACACCCCCTTGCCGGGCATCTCAAGAGGCCGATTTGCGCGCATACCTGCAAGGAAGACCCGGCCACGAGGACCGCATCGGATTCCTCAAGACGCTGGTACACCAAGTCCACTTTCTCCTTGGACACGTTGTCCCCAAAGAAAATCACATCTGGCTTGAGGACCCCACCACATTTGCGGCACGATGGGACACGGAAATGGCGCACCTGCTCTTCCGGCAGAAAGACGTCTCCGTCGGGGGCCACGCCGTGGGCCTCAGCTGTCCACATGGGGTTCAAAGCCTCAAAATGTTCCTGGAGTTGCTCACGGGGGACCTGGGCCCCACAGCTGAGGCACAAGACCCTGTGGAGAAAGAGGTTTTCAAGGCTCAGGATTTCTAAGAAGGGGGGGGGGGAAGGAAGGGACCCTCTTGCGATTCCTAGCAGCTAACACCCCCCCCCAATAGAACATAAGAAGATAAAATGAGAAAATAGAAAAGGAGTTGAGGTCAATGCTTCAAGTGAGAGATTTAGGGCAGGGAAAAGGGTATTATTCTTTTTTTTTCCTGCTGCAAGCACTTCCTGGGAACTAAAACGGCTGTAGGGGGTCAGCACTGTTTGGCTCCACCACCCCCCAGGCAGCAAAAGGCTTGGAACTCTGCCACGGAGGGACAGGATCAGCCCTCTGGCATTCTACCCAGAGGACGCCTCTGAGCCGAGCTCAGCTGCCGTTGACTTCAAGGGTGGATGCTGCTTCTTTGCCTTGCTGCCCTTTGCCTTGCTCCAAGACTCTTCAACTTTGCCGCCCAGCAGAAATGTCTCAGATTCACTCCTGGCCTCCCTCCAGGTGGTGATCAGGCCTGACCCCCACTTAGTTTTCAAGCCCAGAGAAGGTCAGCCAGACACGGGTCACCGGCTGGGTGAATATGGAAGAACAGGAGAGACTTCACACACAAACTGCAAAATAAAGCCATGATTTAGGACGATGGCTTAACACCTTGCATCAGGAGCACACAACTTCCATTAGCTCAAGGACAATCTGGTGGGATCCCGAGGCCCACCACTTGCCAAGGAGGAGGCAGGGGGGTAATTGGGGAGAGCCTCCCAAGGTATGCAAGCCTTTGACCCAGACTCTTCAAGGGCTGCAGAAAGGAGGTTATTATCTGTGCTTTGCAGACCATAATTTAGTTGGGTGCAGCCTTCCTACTCAAGTTATAAATCTTGGTTTACGGGCCACAATGGGCTGGATTCACATCACATGCGAAGCTGAATTTGAGCCAAATCAATGTCATCCTAGGCATCTTAGATGAGGAACGGGAATCGCAACTCATGCCAGCTCAGAGATGTCACCATGATCAGTCCTTTTCTATAGCTGGACCATGCTAGGTCCTCGCTGCTCAAAATACGAGGGCAATTCGGAAATAAGCCTCCATGACAGACACTCGCAGATACAGAACTTTTATTATGCACATTAGAGAATAACAACATTGCATTGCTTTTCGACATAGTCGCCATTCAAACTGAGGCACTTGTCATAACGTCTTACAAAAGTTTGAAATTTCTTAGTCCTTGTCGCTCGGCACCAAATCTGGGCTATGGGGGTGATCAAAAACATCCCAACGGAACTGCTTCAAAAGTTCTTGGGGGCGTCTAGCCGTGTGCGGGTGAGCATTATCGTGAACCAACACAACGGAAGTCAGCAGGCCCCGACGCTTGTTATGGATGGCTCGTCTGAGTTTTCCGAACGTTTCATAGTAGACATCTGATGGCCAAACCACGCTCCATGAACTTCACTAGCTGTATTCCTTTGGCATCTTCACATTTGGCACGGTTTTCTATGGCACCACTTCTGGTGTGGTGTTGGTTCATGACAATGCTCGTCCGCACACTGCTAGATGCACCCAAGGACTTTTGAAGCAGTTCCGTTGGGATGTTTTTGATCATACCTCCCCACCCCATAGCCCAGATTTGGCACTGCAACTACAACTAAGGAGCTTGTTTATGAAGCAGTTCCGTTGGGATGTTTTTGATCATACCTCCCCCCCCCCATAGCCCAGATTTGGCACTGAGCAACTACAACTAAGGAATTTCAAAGCTTGTAAGACCTTATGACAAGTGCCTCAGTTTGAATGGCGATTATGTCGAAAAGTAATGTAATGTTCTAGTTTTCTAATGTGTATAATGAAAGTTCTGTATCTGCGAGTGTCTGTCATTGATAATTCAAGGGGGGGGGGTTATTTCCGAATTACCCTGGTACATTTAATAATCTATCCTTATTTCATGGGGGCTGTGAAGGACTCTTCTGCAGAAAGTCTCTGCCATCATCCCTGGCTGGGAACCATGGAAGTCTCTCTCTGCTCAGTCTGGAGGACAGGCAAGGCTAAGCCACACACCACCCAGCACTGTTGCAAATTCATCCCTTGCTTCCTGCTGGCCCCAGACCCCCTCCCACAAATCCTGAAGCCCCATTTTCTTCCTGGCCTTTGCAGCTTCTTGATTTGAGCGACTTTTCTATTATGAGATAGTTAAAATCCACCCTGTTGAACTGGGGAAGGACAGTCAAAGGGCCATAAACAAATCACGAATTAACCGATTCTACTCCTGAAGTCTTGGCATATGATGGCTGCCAAACGGTTATGCTGTTTTCCCACGTAAGAAAGCAGCGCAAAGCCCTGCTCCGCCTCCTCTTTTTCTAACACCCGGGATGTTCCCAATACAGTTTAAAACGTTGCCACCTGTGAGCAGAATTAAATTCTTCTTTCGTTTGATTCGTTTTGATTCATATCACAATAACGGCTCCTTTGGCAAAGCAACCTGTGGGTGAGCAGGACAGGTGTGCTTAGGCTGGCAAGACAACGCTTGTTCCTCGCAGACCTGCACACCCCACAGATATTGTAATAAATGGCTAGCAGTTGCAGCTATGCGCAGGAGGATCGTGTCCTCTATCACCCAGACTCCAGCTGCTTCTGCCCTGTGGCAGGCCCACTCCTGCAGAAATGCTGCAGAGCTGTCACAGGCCCACCAAGCTCGCCAGACTGATCATCCTAAATGCCGTCCCATTTCGAGTGGGGCCATCCAGAGGCCCAAGGGAAGCCCCCCCCAGCTTTTAGCTGCACTTGGACCCAGCGCCACAGGGCCAGGCCAGTGCTGGGGCCTGAAATGCAGATGTGCCGGGCAGCTGCAATGTCCTGCGCTTTCTCTGTCAGCCTTGGCACCCCCTTCCCCTGCGCCACCTGTGCGTGCAGCCATGCAGCTCAGTCATGCGCCGACTGCCAGCCTTGGCATGGAGGGCGTCCACGTTCTGAGTCACCAGCCAGTGCAGCTTCCCCTGCTGTTCCCAGCTGCTCAGAGCCCAGTGTGCCGCGTTGGGCTGATGGGAGGAAAACTGGGGCCACCCCACAAAGTTCCTGGCCCAGTATTTCTGCCGGGCTGAGGCACTGCGGAGAAACTCGGCGTGCTGGACGGGCCGCCGGTCAGACCGGGCGTAAAGGCCCACGCCTTCAGAGCGGTAATCCGGGATACCGGATTCGGTGGAGATCCCTGCTCCAGTCAAGACAAAGAGACGCTGGCAGTGAAGAACGAACATCTGGAGTTTTTCTATTGCCCCAGCGTCCGGAGGGGGGCTGTCTGGAACGAAAGCCAGGGAGGGGGCAGCCTGGGGCACGGAGGCATGGGAGGCCCAGCGGTGGAGTCCATGAACCGGCCATCCTCCTCGGCCTTTCAGGGCTGGAAGAAACTCCATCTGGAAAGACAGAACAGGGGGGAAAAACAAGGTTTCCAAACTATTCAAGGAGACATTTTTTGCCCTAGACCAGTGGTTCTCAACCTGTGGGTCGGGATCCCATTTGGGGTCGAACGACCATTTCACGGGGGTCGCCAGACAACGCAGTCCGCCATTTTTCCCCCCCTTTTCCTTAGCTGTGCTACTCCCTTTTATTCTATTGGCTTTTGAAAGCCAATAGAATAGACTCTCTGGAGGCCTTTTCCAGGCCTCCAGACCCAAATCGGGCTGCTGGGGGTCTGCAAAATCACTCTGCAGGCATACCTGGACTTGTGCTGGCAGCTTAGAACAGTGGTTCTCAACCTTTTTAACGCCGCGACCCCCAACCGGTCGTAAGTCGAGGACTACTCAACCGGTCGTAAGTCGAGGACTACTCAATTGGTGCAGCACCGTTTGCAGAATGGGACTTTTGGCGGGCTCAGCAGAGCAGAGACAGCCTGGACAATTCCTATTGGCTTTGGAAAGCCAGTAGAATTAGACTCTATTCAAGAGAGTCTAATTCTATTGGCTTTCAAAAGCCAATAGAATAAAAGGGAGTAGCCCAGCTAAGGAAAAAGGGGGAAAAAATGGCGGACTGCGTTGTTTGGCGACCCCCGTGAAATGGTCGTTCGACCCCAAATGGGGTCCCGACCCACAGGTGGAGAACCACTGGCTTAGAAGGAACCAGTTCTTCAGTTGAAAAAAAGGTGCTGGAACGCTGTTCCGTGCGTTCTATGACAAAAAAAGCCCTGCTGATAAAGTTTAGAATATGAATACCACGCTACATTTCACTGCTATTTTAATTAGGATTTGGGGAGCAGCTTTCTCCATATACCTGCAGGACAAACTTTGGGGGGGGGGCTGGGGGGGAGACACTGCTTGAGACAGAGAGTCCATGTAGTTTTTGATTTACAACCCCAATAGGGAGAATTACCATTGCTAAGCAAGGGAGTTGTTGGTTTTTGTTTTTTTTTACACAGTTGTTAAGTGAATCACTGAACCAAACCTGCTTTTTCCAAAAGGCAACTGGACTGTCTCGGGTTTTCCTTTTAATTGAAAAGGTTTCGCTTCTCATCCAAGAGGATTCAGTTGAACTCAACAAAGTCCAGTTGCCTTTTGGAAAATAACCTTTGGGACAATCATGACCTGGATGATGGAAAACCTCCACAGATGTGAATCCCTGGCATTGTTAAACAAAATAATAATAACAACAACAACAAAACAACAATAACAATAAATAATAATAAAAATAATAAAGTTGCAAGGGACCTTGGAGGTCATCTAGTCCAACCCCCATCTATCCACTCATCCAAATCATTGATGAAGATGTTGAAGAGCACTGGGCCCAGAACAGAGCTCTGGGACACACTGTAATTGCACACTTGTAAAGTGAACCTCCTCCCCCCCTTCTTGCTAGAAACCAGCAAATGGCACAGGATGGTGTGCCAAGCACTCACATGTTGATGAAGTGACCCTGTGTGGATGCTGCAACGGCTCTAAGGTACCAGAACCGGGGCACTGTGACTTTGACTAGGGGTCTAAATCAGGGGTAGGCAACCTCGGCTCTTTTATGACTCATGGACTTCAACTCCCAGAATTCCTGAGCCAGCATGGCTGGCTCAGGAATTCTGGGAGTTGAAGTCCAGAGTCATAAAAGAGCCAAGGTTGACTACCCCTGCCTAAAGTCTTGTACTGGGGAGTCGGGCTATTTTTTTTTTCTTCTTTTCGCTTTTTAATGGCTGGCTCAGGAATTCTGGGAGTTGAAGTCCATGAGTCATAAAAGAGCCGAGGTTGCCTACCCCTGGTCTAAATGAACAGTTATATAAGTCGAGGCCTTATATAAGTCGTGGCCTGGTTGCTTGCCCCCCCTCATCCTCCCCCCCCCGGCAGGACTCTGAATGGAGCCAGGGAAGGTCGCCTGACCTGCAAGTGGGGGGGCGGGGAGGCAGGACAAGGTCAGTCCGGTTCAGAGGCGCTTTCCCACCCGTGGGGGGGGGGGAAGAGGGAAGCAGCACGCAACGCTTTCCCAGCCATTCCAGGGTTTCTGCCGGGATTTTGCAAAGCGAGCCCACCGCCTGGAGGGCGCCGGTTGGGGAAGCCCCCTCCGGTGCGCCCGATCTTTCTTCCCCCCCCCGATGCGCGTGCACCGGGTGCGCGCGCCATGCCCTCGCGGGGAAGGGGGCACCGGACCCCCTCCTGCAGGCACTGCAGACCACCACCCTCCCACCCCGGCCCGGGCACGCTCACCTCTCCTCCCCCGCCAGAAGGACAGCCCGCCGGGAGGGGAAGCTGGGCCCGGGAAAACTACAGCTCCCAGCATCCACCGCGGCAGAGCCGCAGCTCGCCCGGCCAGCCGGACTCGGCGCTGCGGGAGCTTTGTGAGCTCACGGCTGGCTGGCTGGCTGGCCGGACGGGGGAAGCTGCCCCGCTTGGACGGCCCGTGTGCCCCGGTGGGCTGGGAAGGGGCTGGGCTGGGCCGGGCGCCTAGCGGTGGAGGGGGCACCCCGAGGCCATCCGTTCGAGCCCCGCCCGAGAGCGGCAGGAGGAGCAGTTGCGGTGGAGCCGCGGGACGGGCTGCCTGTCTGCAGCCCAGTTGGAGGGAGCCCTCTTCGGCTTGGCTCCGGGGCGATTCCCGGGGGGGGGTTCTCCCATCCCTCCCTCCCCCTCCCTCCCCTGACCTCTGCGAGGTGGGGCGTTGGCTCCCGAGGAGGCTTCAGGGTTTCCCCCAAGTTCGCGTTTCTGAAAATGTCGCTTTTTTTTTTGCCCCCTCCCCCCCTTTTGGGGGGGTCATGGTTACATTGCTGAGGATTCGGACCAAAAAGGGTGCTGCAGCTGCCCAAAAAGGCCAACCCAGTGCTAGGCTGCATTAACAGAGGGACAGGATCAAGATCGTGTGAAGTGTTACTACCACTTTACAAGGCCTTGGTAAGGCCACATTTGGAATACGGCATCCAGTTTTGGTCACCGCGATGTAAAAAAGATGTTGAGACTCTAGAAAGAGCTCAGAGAAGAGCAACAAAGGGGACTGGAGGCTAAAGCATATAAGGAACGGTTGCTGGAATTGGGGATGTCTAGTTTAACGGAGAGAAGGAGGAGGGGGACATGAAAGCATTGTTCCAATATCTCAGGGGCTGCCCCAAAGAAGAGGGAGTCAAGCTATTCTCCAGAGCCCCCAAAGGCAGGACAAGAAGCAACGGATGGAAACTAACCAAGGAGAGAAGCAACCTAGAACTAAGGAGAAACTTCCTGACAGTTAGAACAATTAACCAGTGGAACAACCTGCCTCCAGAAGTGGTGAATGCTCCAACACTGGAAGTTTTTAAGAAGAGACTGGACAGCCATTTGTCTGAAATGGTATAGGGTTTCCTGCCTGAGCAGGGGGTTGGACTAGATGACCTCCAAGATCCCTTCTAACTTTATGATGATGATGATGATGATGATGATGATGATTATTAATGGCTGACCTTATCTTGAATCATAGAACTGGAAGGGATCCGTGAGGCCATCTAGCTAGCTAGCGCAACCTACTGCTCAGTGCAGGAATCCAAACTCAAGGGCCACTGACATGGCATCTTTACCCAAAACAATTTGGGGAAGGGGAGCTGTCATTTCCCTGGGTCAGTGGCTCTATGGGTCAATTGGGGTACTTTTGCTAACACTGAACTGGGATTTTTCTTCTGCAGTTTGAGTGCATGTTCCCATTTTCCAGGATCAGAAAACAGGTCTAGTTAAAAGATGTTATTTTTTTAATGTAGAGGGTCATCATATCCCCTCTCTGTTTAGATGGGGCAGTTTCCAGCTTTCTGGGCTTCCCCCCCCCACCCCTGGTTTGGATTTTTTCTGAGCTTTTTAAAGTGTGGCCCTCCACACCTTCCACCAGCAAGACTAGCAAAAATGTTTAAAAATATATCAGATAGATGTTGGAAGTGTAAACATAATATAGACACGTATTATCATATTTGGTGGACATGTGGGAAGGCAAAGGCTTATTGGAAAAATATACATATGTGGTTAGAAAAAATATTGGGCAAACAAGTGGATTTTAAACCTGAACTTTTTCTACTAGGCATTATGTCTGAAAAGACTAATAAGCAGAAATTATATTTAATTTTACACATCACCACAGCAGCGAGAATAATTTTTGCACAATACTGGAAAAATGAAGGATTGCCATCAGAGGAAGAAATAATCATGAAAATACTGGAATGTGCAGAGATGGGCAGATTAACTATGAGGTTGAAAGACAAAGAAGATACAGACTATCAAATTTGGAATTTATTTTATTCTTGGTTAGAGAAAAGAATGAAGGATTAGGAATTGAACATGTATTAGTTTAGCAAATTCCAGACAACTTGTTGATTGGAAAAATTAACATATGTTGACGAGAAAAAAAATAATAAAAATAAGAATGAAAAAAAAAATAAAGTGTGGCCCTCCACCTCAAACTGGACTCATAGTGGAGTCTGAATAATGCAGAATGTAATAGAACTATTGTAATCATAGCTTGTTAAATAAACCACAAGGAACCAAAGAATAAATTGAATAAACATGTTTCTGTTAATGAAAGGGGTGGCTTGAGGGCCACAAAATACTGTATACATTGTACTTGTCAGTGGATGTGTGTGTGAGATAGAGTTTGATAAGTTGATTTTTTTTTTAAAAAATATCTGTTTTAGGACTAACACTTTTCATAGGCTTCCCATGTGCGAATGGCAGCAAAATTTATATCCAATTTTTAGCAATGTTAATCTCTGTGGGCTCCAAGAGCTTAGAGACTGAATTTAATCTTTCTTGGCATGCCTCTGCCCCCCCCCCCAAATCCAAATAGCTGATTTTGCGTGTTGCTCGAAATTAAAGCAGACGAAGCAACTGTGACCCAGGACCTTTATTTTAAAAGGATCCAAATACAACTACAGCAGGGGTAGGCAACCTTGGCTCTTTTATGACTCGTGGACTTCAACTCCCAGAATTCCTGAGGCAGCCTGGCTCAGCTTGGAAACCTTTCCCTTTCCTCTCAGCATGGCTGGCTCAGGAATTCTGGGAGTTGAAGTCGAGTCATAAAAGAGCCAAGGTTGCCTACCCCTGGCCTAGGCCACTTTATGACTCATGGACTTCAACTCCCAGAATTCCTGAGCCAGCATGGCTCAGCTTGGAAACCTCTCCCTTTCTCCTCAGCATGGCTGGCTCAGGAATTCTGGGAGTTGAAGTCCACAAGTCATAAAAGAGCCAAAGTGGCCTATCTCGGCTTAAAGGATGGGGTGAATTCATAAAACGAGTTCATTCTGTCCCCTGGTGAACAGAATTATGTGTCCCTTAGGCCAGAGGTAGGCAACCTTGGCTCTTTTATGACTCGTGGACTTCAATTCCCAGAATTCCTGAGCCACCATGGCTCAGCTTGGAAATCTCTCCCTTTCCCCTCAGCATGGCTGGCTCAGGAATTCTGGGAGTTGAAGTCCACGAGTCATAAAAGAGCCAAGGTTACTACAGCATTCACGTTTGTATTCTAGAAATGTTGAGAAATTGTGCTCCTTTAGTGGCTCTGGTGCGGTGCCTGTCTCCCTTGAGGGTGCCCTGTCCAGGTGTCCCCCCACCCCACCCCAAAAAGTTGAAGAGAGCTGAAAGTTAGGAAGGGGGCTGTGGTGGGGGGCAAGGGGAGGAGGGGGCGGCCTGGCTAAGCCCAGCTCTTCCGTCCTCCTTCCCACCACTTGTTAGGGTTAGGGTCTCCCGAGGCCGCCTCTGCCTGGCGAGAGAGCGCAAATCTCGGCTTGAGTCTCTGGCGACCCCTCCGGATTTAGATGCCCGTTTGCGGGGCGCATGGAAAGCGGAGCGGGCAGGTCCTGCCGAAAACTGCGCTGGGCAGGAGGAAGGGGGGGGCCACAGGAGCCCCCCCTCCCGCCTTCGGGCTCTTGACTGGCAGCTGAAGGGCCGCCAGGCAGCAGCAGGTCAAGACTGGCTGACCAGTGGAACAGCTTGCCACCAGAAATCCTGAGGGGGGGGGTCCATCACTGGAGACGGGACAGCCACCTGTCTGCAATTGTATATAGGGTCTCCTGCTTGAGCAGAGGGGTTGGACTAGATGACCTCCAAGGTCCCTTCCAGCTCTACTCTTGACCTTCAAGAAGCCCTTGCGCGGGGCGCCTTCCGTCCGTGCCTTGATCCGGGGGTCAGCTGGATCGGGGGGGGGGTCGCCTTCGCGCCACGCAGAGCTCGGGGTGCGGGGAGAGCCGTCCCGCGGAGCGGGGGGGGGCCGACACGGGTCTTGGCGTGTCGTGCGAAGCGGCCGGGAATCGCCTCTCCGCGCCCCCCCCACCCCAAGCGGGAGGCAGGGGGCCCGCGCGGACCCCGGGATCGCGGCCGTCCGCCCGGAGGAGCGCGGGGCGGGGGCGGGGGCGGCGCCAGGCGGACGGGCAGGTGCGCCGGGAAGTCCGCCGGCCGGCCGGCAGCGCAGAAGCTGCTGCGGCGTCGCCCAGCCCGAAGTTTGGGGGGGCTGCCGGCCAGCCCGGAGCGGGGACGGGCGGGGGCAGCGGAAGGAGGCCCTGAACCGCGGGCCGAGTCGCCCCAACCCCCCCCCCCGCCTCCTCTGCACCCCGAAACCCCGCCGGGCAGCCTGGTAAGAAGCGGGAAGGGGGGGGAGACGGAGGGGGGGGGAAACGGAGGGGGGGGTCAGCTCGCCCCTGGCATTTTCCCCATCTGCCCCGCGCAACTGCAATCACCCCCCCCCGGGGCAGAGCAGCTGCTGGGCTCCGCGGAGGGATCCGTCGCCCCAGCGGTGCGGATGCTCCCGGGGCTGCAGTGACCCCCCCCCCTCCCCGGGCAGGGCTCCAGCCTGCGAGCTGCCGGAGAGCTGCGGTTCCCGCGGAGCCCCCTCCGGCCTCCTCGCTCCCCCCCCTCACCCCCATCCCGCTCCCCTCTACTCTTTCGGTGTGTCTTGGCGCGGGGGGGGGGCTCCTGAAGAGCGCTGCCCCCCCCGGAGGAGGCGACTGCAGGAGGCGGCAAAGTTGCCTGGGGGAGGCGAGGGGGGGTAAGTGGTTTTCAAGTGCCCCCCCTTCCTTTCCCCTCCTGACGACCCCGACCCTCATCACGCGTCCTGGGGGGGGGGGGATTCCGCCCCAGAGCCCGGCGCTATTTATTTATTTATTTATTTATTTATTTATTTATTTATTTATCTCTGAAATTTATATGCCGCCCAATCCCAAGGGACTCAGGGCGGCGTACCAAATTAAAACAATAATCTGACAAGAAAACAATAAAGTAAATACATTCATACAGCGTGTCCGATCATATCCCAGCCCCCTCCCCCGGGACAATTTCTGGGAAGGGTCCCCGGTGCCCCCCTGGGCCCCCAAGCCCCCCCCCCGCGCGTGCGACTGGCAGCCCAGAATCCCTCTTGGGCCAGCGCAGGAGAAAGGCGAAGAAATTGAGGGCACCCTTGGAAAAAAATGGGGGGGGGGGGAAAGGCAGTTCGGGCTCTGAGTTCAGGTTCTGCCGCCGCCGCCAGCCACTCAGGAAAGCCTCTTCCCAGCTATCAAAATAAAAAATATATTTTGCAGCCCGTTTACTGATTCTGGGAATTCTACCGATGACCCAAGTGGGTCTCCTGGAGGAAGACAGTTTTCAATATTGAAATCTTGTTCCGGAGACCTTTAAAAGAGCGGTGGGAGTTTCCCTTTCTTTTCAGCCACTGACAATCAGGTGCGCCTAATTTGCGCTCCCCCCCCCCTAAGGTTTCCATTTTGGAAGTAAAAAAAATAAATAAATCCGAAGTCTGATAGTAGCACCTTTTCAGACTTAAAAGTTTCCCGCATTAATTGCATTAAATGCTTCCGATTGTTGGCTGCTACCGTGGATTAAAACAAAGTCGTCTACATTTTGGGGATGTGGTTTTTAAAACATCGGAAGGAGAAAATGGCCAACAGCAGCGATACGATTGATTGTGCTTATTTTCATTGGCCCCAAAATGTAGATGGAATCAAAGTAAATGAGGCAAACCAAACCAAATCCTAATTGCAACCTGCAAACGAGCCCTTGGCTATTATCTTTTGTCCTGGACCCCACTCCAGACTTTTTTGCATGAGGTTGAACAAAACTTCTACTTAGAGGTTGCCCTAGCAGGGGTGGTCAACCTTGGCTCTTTTATGACTCGTGGACTTCAACTCCCAGAATTCCTGAGCCAGGAATTGTCCATGGACTGTCAGCAGCAGGTGAGATGGGAGGAAGAGGGCAGCCCGACTGTGGGATGGCAACCTCAAAGCAAATCCTCAGGAAAAAAGGAAAAGGAACGGAAGAGCAGAATAGTTGGAAAAGTTGCTTGACAAGGAGATTCTTCCAACAGCCGTTAGCTGCTTTCACAGCTTATGACATAACTTCTTTCCAGGAAAACCTAAAGATCATTGGTACATCTGACTGGACTAGGTAAAATGTGTGGGTTAGAGAGGATCTTAGCCCATGGGGTGAACTGGGCAATCTGTCTATCCAAGCATTGTGGAGCCTATTGATTGAAACAAGCTCACCCCCCCCCCCCGCCCAAAGAATGTCTTTTACTATTTCAGGTTTAGTATGTTGTGCAGAGGTGTCACATCAGGGCACAGTGAAAAAAACAAACAAAAAAACCCAAAACAAAACATCAAGATCAGCGGTTCTCAACCTATGGGTCGCGACCCCATTTGGGGTCGATCGACCACTTTTTGGGGGTCGCCAAAGGCGGCGATCCGCCATTTTGTCCCCTCCGGGGGTGGCGCCGTGCATGTGCGCCGCGCGTGGGGGCGCCGCCGTGCATGTGCGCCACGCATGAGGGGGCGCCACGCATGCGCGCCGCGCGCGGGCCCCCCAGGGGCCCCCCACCCCCATGCGCACCGCGCCGCGCATGCGCATGGGGGTGGGGGGGGTCGCCGTCACACAAACGTTGAGAACCGCTGATCAAGATGGACAGTGATTAATATTTATATGTTGCTTATATGTAAGGGTGTAGATCTATATATATGTTGTACATAGTTATGTTTTAAATGTGTGTTATGTATGTGTACACTTTGAGAGCAAGCAACTAAATTTCATTTTTAATGTGTGTCGTGCGCACAAGTAAAAATGTCATAAAGGCTATCTATCTATCTATCTATCTATCTATCTATCTATCTATCTATCTATCTATCTATCTATCTCTCAAAATCCATCTATCTATTTATCTATCTATCTACCTACCTACCTACCTCTATCCTCAAAATCTCTCTCTCTCTCTCTATCATCTATCTATCTATCTATCTATCTATCTATCTATCTATCTATCTATCTATCTACCTACCTACATCTATCTATCTATCTATCTATCTATCTATCTATCTATCTATCTATCTATCTACCTACCTACCTACCTACCTACCTACCTACCTACCTATCTATCACGACCCTCACATGATTTCCCATTCAATTCCTAATCAAATCCAGCCATGCTTAAATCCAGCCAAGGCTGAACATATTTTTCATCGGGTCTATGGCAGTGGGAAATTGGGCCGCTCAAACAAAGTTCATGCATATTTTTAAGCTGTGTCTTATATAATGTTTGTGCTGCAATACATCCACACATTTTAGCTCAATAAGTCTCTCCTCCAAAGATACAGAACTAGCTGTTCCAGCTTTCGGTTCAAAGTCTTGCAATGTCTCGGCAAATAATTTCCTTTGTAAATTCATTTTCATTCAGCAGAGAGACATTAACATGTCAGCTTCCAGACATCTTACTAAGCAGTTAAAGCTGCACATTTAAGTCGGCAGGGCTATGCTCTGATGTAGGAGAGGCCTGAATCATGCATGTTGAATACATTGAAATGATGTGGCAGATTTGTGCCCTGCCAGGGCTGACTGTGCGCTGGCTCTTGATTTCCCAGAGAGCAGCAGGCAACTTATAATAATAATAATAATAATAGAGCTGGAAGGGACCTTGGAGGTCTTCTAGTCCAACCCCCTGCAGCTTGGCCAGTGCGCTTTCCTCTGGGGGCTCCTGATCTGCCCCCTTAAAAGGAGCCCACTTTGTGACAATACTGGCCTTGTCTGGGCTTGGAAAATCAGCAGGGTTGGGTCTGCTAAAGATGGGATGGGAGACCACCGGGATCACTCAGGGAAGTGCAGAAAGAAATGCTGGAAGAAGATGGGGCAAGTCCCTAATCAAGACGCTGATCGGCACATGTCTAGAAGCAAGCCATAGGGTAGCGAGGGAGTCAGGCTGATGGAAGGAGCGTGAAGCGTTCCCCCTTCTTTTTCATGCGCGTGCAATGTCACACGCACCCTCTCAAAGGGGCAGAGGTGTGTGATGCTGAGCTGCCGTCTCCCTCCCCCAGAGGGGAGCTTTGCTCTTGACTGGTGGGCAGCCGCAAAGGCTGGTTCAGACCCTCCCCTTCTGTTGGGTGGCTGAGCAAGGCAGCCTCTGGACTGTGGAAAAGGCTTCCAGGCGCCATCTTGGAAGGAGGGGGGTCTGCAGTGGGGAAGGAGGAAGCCTGCAGGAAGAAGACTCCCTAGGCACTCCCGCTTGCCTCCCCTGGCGAATCGGCCCTTTGAAGCCCACGGAAGAGCGAAGAGCGTTGAATTATTGAATTGCTTTTGGCACAGCAGCTCTTCTCCAGAGGCTGGGTGGCAGAGGACCCTGAGAGTCTGTGTGGCAATGAGTGTGAGGATCCATGAGATTAAAGAGAAGTGAAGGACAGGGAGCACCGGACCCCAAGAAGCCTTTGGAAAGACTTTGGGCTGCCTTTCCAGGGACCCAGGAGTAGGTTCTCCCCCCATTGGAGCCACAACTGTAAAGGTGTGGGAGCAGAGGGGTCCGTGGCATGCCTGGACAGGAGACGCTGCCCCAAAGAAGGTCAATTTGAGGAGAGAGGCAGCTATGCAGAGGGAAACATCTGGATGGAGGAGGCCAGAGATGGGCTCTGGCTGGGGCGTTGGTTTTGCTGCAGTTCTGGGAAGGGAATATTCTCAGGGCAGTTAAATGATCTCTGGGTTCCCCCTGCTTGAAACCAGCTGAGTAGTCGCTGCCATAGAAGTTTATGAACATCTACAGGGCCTCTGACTGCTTGCTGCAGGCACAGGCATTTGCCCTCCCCCCCGTTCCCCCATGGTCACTGGGGATGATGGGATTTTGTACCCAACGTTGTATCTGGAAGGTAACTTTGTATGGACTGTAGTTAGAGCCTTTGGTAGAAATCTGAATTTTGGTATATGGAGAGAAAAACATTCTCACCTCCATCTTTGCTTTTTATAAGTCTCCATCATGGTTTCCTTCCTTCCTTCCTTCCTTCCTTCCTTCCTTCCTTCCTTCCTTCCTTCCTTCCTTCCTTCCTTCCTTCCTTCCTTCCTCCCTCTCTCCCTCCTTCCTTCCTTCCTTCCTTCCTTCCTCCCTTCCTCCCTCCTTCTATCCCTCCCTCCCTTCTAGTACTGATGATGTTACCTAGCTGGGTAATGAAACGTCTGCAAGAAAACAAGCAAGCTCAGAGAGCACCAAGGACCCCATAGTCAGTCCTTCCTTCCTTCCTTCCTTCCTTCCTTCCTTCCTTCCTTCCTTCCTTCCTTCCTTCCTTCCTTCCTTCCTCCCTCCCTCCCTCCCTCCCTCCCTCCCTCCCTTCTAGTAAT